AGAGAGAGAGAGAGAGAGAGAGAGAGATAAAACAATGACTCATTTTTTTTATCGAACTGCCCGTTGGACCATTGTTATGAAAATGGGACGATCTACTGTAACACGAGAAAAACAAGCAAAACGCAACGATCAGACGTCAATAAAGAAAAGAAATTGAAGTGCAATGCATTTATTCGATTTAAACTAAAGCCTGTGCATTCGATATAACGATGTACTCTCTGATACTTCGTCTGAAAAAAAAAGAGAAGAAAATTTTAGTTTGCAAAAGCCTCATTTAACGAATATGATGAACATCGAACGACCGACGGCACATCGAGAATCCCAGATACAGTTCAGATTAAATAATAATAACAACAACTAAAGCGCATGTTTGTTGAGTGAACATTGTTTGTTTTTCGTCGTTCACATGACAACGAATTTTGATCAGTTAGATCGAGTAATGCAAATGAATGGAAATGCAGACAAACTTCGCAGTTTGATCGCGCTTCACAATGAAAGTTTCTGCTTGATATTTTCAAACAAAGGAACTTATTTTAAATAACGACATACCATACATCCAACGAGTACCAGTACCAATTCGAAATTATGTGTGTATGTATGAGAATACCTTATTAGCTGCAAAATCAAGGCTTTTCCCCATGGAATTTATCTCCGAAAACTTGACAATACATATTCAGTCTCAGGGACTAAATTCAGAGAATACTCTCAGAATTTTGACTCAACAAATGTTCCTGGAACACTTTGGAACCAAAGTTCATATGCACATTTAAGACAATTCAAACAAACTTTAATTGGAAATTTCAAATTTAAAGAAATATATTCATTCGCTTATTAGACTTGAATGTTCAATCGTTTTATAGCTAACATTGAAGAAATGACGTCCAACAACTATTCAATTTTGAATTATATTAAATATTTCATCATATTTGTTTATTCACTCTGATATCATTTTATCGATCGTACATCGGACATGGACAGTGAGAGGTTAGCGGTGACATTTCATTGTCAAGGAATGAATTTGCTTTATTGCAAATTTTTGGAATGGAATGTCCTCTGAATTTTGTCTCTAACAATGTATATGAACACGTACGGTCATTTTATTGCTTGCAATCCGTTGTCCAAATCATTTTCCTCCGTCTGTGTGACGGGCACCCGCTTTCACATACCGTGAACGAAACAGAAAACAGTTATGATTGCAACAACTTATAAATAAAATATCGTAACGGATATGTATGCACTATGAGAGAGAGAAAATAAAACAAACAAACGAACGAACGAATGGAAAAAAAGAAGCGAATACGGGTAAAGTCACTAATAAATTCGCATTGTGAATGCATTTCATCTCATTTTCAGTGTGGCTTGTAGTTATTCTCTCTTGAGAATTTGTGAATTCGTAGATTGAAATGAAATTCCCCCCGGTTCGCTGTGTTCGGATTGTTATCGTTCATCAATGACAAAGTTTTACTTAATATGATTTCCTTTCACGATGAATAAGTATTACATGCATTCGTTCATATTCGTTTTTGATGATGTTTCATTTAATTATATTTCTTTTTCTCACTCCATTCATATATGAATCTTTTGATTACGTTTTAAGTTTCGTCTCATGGTCCATTTGAATAGTGAGATTCGCTTTATTGATAGATATAACGTTTTCGTTGGCGTTCCATACCAAACTAAAAAGAAATGCACTCATATCGAAGTATTATTATTTGGCAGAGAATATTCGAAAGTTGCATCGACTGAAAGAGACACGAAGAGACAGAAAGATAGTGAGAGCAAGAAGAAAAATGTCGGGAATTCGACGAGTGTCATCGTTTTCATTTTTAAATGTAAATTATGGAAAGTATTATACGAAGTGGATGGCAAAAATTGAAATCAAACAAAAAGATAAAAGGGAAAAAAAGTGTACAAGACACCATGGCGAAAAAACCCGAAAAAGTCACAATTAAAAGAGATATAGTGTGTGGTGTGCATACTGCGCGCATCGTGTGATAACAATATTTTTTTTTTGTTCGCCGTTGTATATGCCGTCTTTATCGTTTCAATTGGCTGGATTCTTGTGTGTTTTATTTCATTTAGCCACATTTTATATCACATTTATGCGAATATTGTACCGAGTTTGAATGTTCACAATTTACAAGATCAATAATTATTATGCACCCAATCGTGTGTCTACCGCACAAGCTGTGCGCGATTTCATAATAATAAATGTGAATCGCAAAATAAAACCCGGCAATTTTTCAGTTCTAGTGCTGATCACTTATGTTTTTTGGCCATCACCATACATTTCTCTTTTTGAGTTGTATTGTTTTTTTTTTCTTTCGATTCTTCTTCTGTTTCGTTGCCCCCTTTCTCATTTGCGCATTTTATTTGCATACTATAGACTTTGCACCATTTTATTGAACACTGAATGGATCAGTTATTGTTCGAATTCAATTTCTCTCTATCTTCTACTCCCCCCTCTCCCTATCTCTCTCTCTCTCTCTCTCTCTCTCTCTCTCTCTCTCTCCACTGAGTCTGTGTATTGTCCGTAAGCCGTAAGACAGGCGTATTAGGTTGCCATTGATATTCAATGGCACTTTTTTTTAGTTCGATATATTGTTGACGTCCGTGTCGGACCGATGATATTCAGCAAATTTCATGCAAAATAAGTAAACTGTTAACCCATTGAATCGTCAGAATCACAACATGTTCCAATCTTTATTTCTTTCATTCTACGCATTTCATGTCGTTTGCGCATCATTCATGTGTTGAACACATTTATTCTTTGGCACACACACAAAAACAACGATTGCTGGGTAAAAAAAAAATATTTATTAGGTTATCAACGAAACGAATGTGGCAAAAAAAAAGAACATTGAATTTTGCGAAGGCTCCATCCGGAGTTGACAAACTTGCACATCAACACATTGTCACCGTTTCATCCGTACATCCCATTCCACTATATTTAAACTCTCTAATTGTTTCCCGCTGTTCAAATAGTTGCCCAGAAATGAAGAAGATGATGATGACAAAAAAGGGAATTTGCAACAACTTATTTAATTGAATCCATTAAATTCTTCATGCTAATCACCATCAAACCGTGCTAACGACGTTGGCCGTTTGAATATTGATGTTTATTAAATTTAATTATAAATTCATTTTTTATAGACATTATATTAGAGGTTATACCAAACGCATACTAATGTTCGGATGAAATTATGCAGATGGCTCTCAATTCAAAGAATATATTATAACCACAACCAAATAAAGTATTCAAATGTCGATGGAATGATCTAATTATCCAAATGTCTAGATATGCGCTCTTGTTGATCAACGGCTTTTTTCCTGATCCGCACAATTTGAACAACATTTCAATTCGATGGAATAGACCACCCTCCGTTCATTTATGGCTTTCGCTTGTAGATCAATATTTAATGTTTAACTCTAAACTTCAAGTCCAACTCGAACTCGAACTTTTGAGTTCTCAAAAGTCATGTTCAAACTTGATTACCATCCATTTTTTCATCAGATCCTCAATTGAAAAATCATGAACTTCGTTATAATTTTCATCGTTACATTTAGTTCGTACACATGATAATTTTCGATGTACACATATATGTCTATAGGTCTTTTGATTACACTTTTTACACACACAAAACACAAATTCTTTTTTTTTTTTCATTTCAGAAGCAGCGGGAGAACTAGGATGGACTTTTACGTTAATTATAGTATCGATAATATCAGGTAATAATATTCCTTCGCTAGAAAACAGATTCACTCCATAATGCGTTTCGATCGCATTCGATTTGATGTTTTATTCTTCAATGACGATTTGTGATTTATTTATTGTTTTCAGCTCTGTTAGGTGCTATCATCATGGTCATAGTCCTTAGGTGTAAAAGGTAACATTTTAAAACTTCTTCATTAATCGAACACGTTTAAGTCACGTATTTGTTGTTATAACCATTCACAAATGAATAAATCGAAATCGACATGAACTGTAAAAATTGATCACTAACAAATCAAAATATCACGCATGTTATATGTTTAAATCGTGGCCGTCTCGTCTGAGCATTATAGAGCCATAATTTTAATATACACAAACTAAAAATAACTACAACAACAAAAAATTACAATTGAAAGCTGGCGTAGAAGAAAAGGTACCGCAATAAATACCAATTTATATGTGATTTGAAATGACAGTAAACTACTTGATTAAGCTAGAAATAGTAGCGATTCTTTGGCGGATTTTGTCTTATAATCTTGCTTATAATTTGCTTCTGCTGCTATATGCCGTTTTAATTTCGATCCAAATTTGGTTTGTGTTTAAAATTTATTGCACGAGAAATCCAAATGAAATTGCTACAAATGCTCATAGCTGGTTTAGCGCCAAATTCATTCCCACGCACCTGTTTGCACTCAAAAGAACCACCATCGCGTATGCCTTTATCAATCGTTAAGAGAAGAAAAAAATAAACACGTATATTTAAAAAAACATGTCGATATAAATACAATTTTTACGGCTCTTTAAATAACTGAAATGATAAAATTCGATTAATCCGCGGAAAATGCAAAATTATTAAGTCATGTACAGTTATGGATTTAAATATTGTACGAAAAGGAAAAAAATATATATATAGCGATAATTCGATGAATATGAAAAGAACGGATCAAGATGTGATTGACTCAAATAAAGAATTCATACGATGTCTTCAATTTTAGCACTACTGGCGCTGGATGACCGTTTTCCCTTACGACGTGTTGCTGTGTGTTCGCGATAGTGATCTAACCAAAAAATTACAATCATAAAAAAACAATATTAATATAATATCCAAAATGATTGTGTCTTAATTTATTCCTGAGTTTTGAGGTGCTCAAGTGATTTGTTTCGTGAATGAGTGAATAACGAGGAATAAAAACCAACATTAGATTTGATTGGCCCGAGATGTCGTCGGTTGTAAATGACAGTTAATGCTTGTATAAAGAGATTACGTGCTGTTGTTGTGTTTTTTTTTGAAGATGTTTTACAGAGATCAGCATAAGCCATGTAAATTATAACGAACCGTTTAATGGCAAAATTTGAATAAAATTCTAAAAAAAATTAGCGTTTGTCATAACTTCATTAGGAATGTGTTTCTTTCCGCCTCTCTTGTGTCAAACAACATGTGCAAACGGAACGTGTGCAAATGAGGCCCATAATTTTACGGTTTAAATTTTAAACCAATCAATATATATATGTTCGAAAAACAACATCCAAAAACCTATCAATAGACATACATATTAACATTGTCGAATACAAAGTTGATGATACTTTATGGTTGGCACATTTTTAAACTGCAAATTGATTGGCATCATCTGTTTGAGGAACGGAAAATCGGCGAAGAAAAACAAAACAAACAAATAAACAAGCGTTTATGTCGAACATGAACAAACGTGGTAATACACAATCATGACATTAATTCATGCAAATAAAACATTTTAAAATTGTCGCATTTTGATGGTGAATGCGATTATATTCGGTTCATATTTACATACAATGTTCACTTTTAAAACAACGAATGAGAAAGAAAGAAAACGGAGTCAGATCGATGGGCTGCCTGACATATGCATTAAAATATATATATATATATTATTTTGGGTTTGGAGCGAGAACTGGCACTGTCAATGAGCGCACATGACATGCACACACACACCAACATGAAATAAACACATTAAAATTAAAAGTAAATCTCAATGTATTTGAATGTCGTGCGCCCGGCATCTCGCCAATGCGCTACAAATTCAGTTGCAGAGGTGCGCTTAATTCAAATACAACGTATTTGAATGTCGATTTTCTGTAAAATATTTTGTATATTTCGTGTATCGATTACGTTTGTTGTTGAGGATACTTTTTGCAGAATCTTTTCAACATGCATACCTCCCCCTCCTCTCTCTCCCGTCGAAAACAAATGAGAGTTTATTTGCCTGTGAGAATCTCATTTGGTTTCCTTTCTATTACAAATGATGACTCATTTAAAAGTGGCAGCTTATTGTATATATGCTATTCCACAAGTGAACTCACGCTTCATGGGCTCTAATATACACATTCAACCGATTTTCGTCTGTCATATAACAATGCAACAATCTCTCTTTCACACAAAAAACCATACTATTTGCGCTTCGTGTGCCTCGAACATTTTAGATTTGAATTCATATTCACTTTGCGAAGTTTTGTTCGTGGCCAAAATTGACTATTGGTTGTTTTAGTTGGGAACGAGCATATTCGTTTTGCGAGACAACTTCAGCTCCAAATCGGCATTTTATTACATAATCAAACTTACAGCGATTTAATAAACATATTTTTTGTTGTTGTTGTTGTTGTTCGATCGTCATTTTTCGTTCTATATATTGCTACATGTGCATTTATACTTCAAACATTTTGCCGTTTGTCGATGCAACAACACTTTTTCTGATCAATTTCAAACAAACATTGGTAAATGTTACAATCTCTTGGTGTACGAACTACAGGGGCACAAGAATGAAGAGAAGGAGGAGAAACAAAAAAAAAAAAAAACTCTCGACGAATAGACAGAGTTGATGAAAACATGCTGAAATGCCGTAAAAGTTACGATTGTTGCAATTTAACATAATTTATCTATTTTTCAACGTTGAAATTGTGCACTCGACATATATATGTATATTTTACGGTTCTCGCTATCTGTTTTTCCTGTGTAATTCCATATTAAATGGTCGCCTATTTTTTTTTTGTTTCAACCTTTCGTTTGCAACGTTTTTGAAAGCCCCGGCCATGATCGAAGGAAAAATTATTTGAAAATATGCATTGCAATGAAGACCTGTCGCAAACAACACATTTCGATCCGCGTTCGCAACAGAAGTGAGGAGGAAGAAGAAAAAAAACTTAAATACAAAGTAATTTTAAAAAAACACACATACATACGTATTACGAAAATGGTATTACAGAGAGAAAAAAATATTGAGATATAAAAGCTAATTAAGCGAACTTCTCTATTTGTATGGTTTAATGAATCAATTATTTGGCACGATTGCAGTTTGCACTCTGCAGTTAGTTAGCGAATATCGATGCAAAGAGATCTATTTGTGCGAGGAAGTGAATAAGTGGGACATTCAATTGATTCATAATGAATACACATAACTTTTGTACTGATATAGATTGGAATGAGAGTTACACATTTTTTTATATCATGCGCTCGCAGACTCAACTTACTGCCCAACATACTTGAGTCAATCAAGTGAAGTGCACTGTGCGGACTTGTTTCAATAAATATATATGTATAATTCCGACCATTGAAAGTATGCTTTATATATATATATTTTTTTCGTTTTTCTTCATCATCAAATGACTTATCTTTTTAAGTCAATTTCTCGTATGAGAAAATCCACATGGATTTCACTGTGGTCTCACTTTTTTGCAATCGTGCACAAAGTCAATTTGTGTTTGAGAAAAACACCTTTGGATAAAAAAACAACAATTCTCTCACATGACTTTGGTTAAAGTTTTCAAAGCAGCTATGCGCTGCTGCAAATGAGACCATTCGAAATTCAACTTATTTAATTAGACAAGTTTTGATGAAGTTTATCTAGATGGTATAATCATTTTACGTTGAGAAATTGGCTTATCATTGATATATATATGCACATATAGTTTCAACTATGTTTAATAAACGTTTGTGCGCCATGGCAATGTAGTTTCCATTCCAAAATTATGCTCGCAATAAGCTTTTCTCCGGCTCATGACTGAGCTGTATGTAATCTTATTTATGTGCGAATTATGATGTCACAGACGACACAAACAATAATACCACCAAGTCTAATCAATTTGACTTTAAATGATTCACAGCTCGCATAACATTATTTATGCATACAAAACATTGGCAAAAAGTTTGTAAATTTTTTTTTATTTTTTATTTGCGTAACTTGATAAAGTTTTCACTTTAAGAACCATACCAAAATCGATTAAAATACGCAATTTTTCGACGATGCATAGTTTGCAATGAATTTGAGTGCTATTAAAATGTGATAAATGTTCATGGAATGCCGGTTTCAGATCGTTCCCGGTTTTTTTTTTGTCTTTCTTTTTATTTCGCATGCAATATTTCGAAATTATTGAATTGAATGAAAAATGTGCAAATTACCACACTGTCGCTGTCACCAAATGAAGCAGAGAGTAAAATAAACTGAATGAAGAACTGGAGTTACACAGATATAACAAACTGTATGATTCATATTGTGATGCACAGCAAACAAAACTCATGCTAAATAGAGAACTGATGATTCAACAAAACGGCAACAATCTCTATTTTTATTATTTTCACTTAATACCGAATTAACCGTCACATTTACGACATTCAAAAAAGATGCGCTCGCTCTCACAATTCTTACAGATATATCGTGTACATCAATTGTAATTATTGCGCCTTTTTTAGCTAATATTCAAATAGCAAAAAAGTGCTAAATTTGCCAATACGCGACCACGTTAATGTAAACAGAATACCGACAAACTATACATATATTTCCGAGAAAATATGTTTGTACACAAAACGATTAGACGAAATGAAGCGAGATAGAGAATTAAAGGGTGTGTGTGTGAGAGAGAGAAATGCAAAAGGCAAAGAGAAGCCAAAAGAGGTGGAAACATTACATTACATTCGCAACATTTCAAGTCACAGCGCAATGCGCGCGATCCATCGCAACACAATAAATATTTCTTTAATAACAACTTAGGAAATAAAATGTCACATAAATAAAAGTCATTTTCGATGTGCATATATACTTTATGGCGACAGCCGCAAACGCACACTCACATACACACACAGATATACTCAACATGGATATACTCAATGGCAACCGACTATTTGGATCTTACTTTTCCTCTATCTGTCTCCTGGTGGTGCAAGGCACGCACCAATGATGCAACAACGTGCAACGAGAAATGTATTCTCACTTCTCCTTTTCTCTCTCTCTCCCTCTCTCTCTCTCGGTTTCTCACTCACCAGTTCTTTACATTTTTCTGTTGACTGATTTGCGCTGGCAGAAACACCAAGAATCTCATGCTATTCTCGTCGTCTTCTGTTATTATTGTTATTATTATGTTTCTTTCTTTCATTCTTTCCAATTTGTGCTTCATCTTTTTCATAACTCATGCATTTGCTCACGCGCTTGTATGTCTGACTCGATGCAAACCATTTTACACATTTAAACCGATAAAATGAAGCAAGAATAGCTTCATTTGACCTAATCATCTCTCGGGTGTTTTATGTGTTTTGTTTTGTTGATTCTGTGCGTGTTTTTTTTCTCTCGCTTGTGTTCGTTCTTTTCATGTTCGCATGGCTGTCGGTGTCTTCGCCGTTGTCGTCGTCGCCGTTGTGGGCATACAAGTGCGCGCTCTTATGCATTTTAATGTTGTTGTACTCTGACCGACGAAGAACCTGTTGTATTCAATGATTGTTGTTCTTTATACTCAAGTGCATCAATTAAATTTGCCGTTAAGATAAGCCGTTGAAGGATTTATCTAACTTATTAACACAACAATGGCAAATTAAATAATATCAGTATGAAACGGGGCAAAATATGGATGAAACTACAATACAAGACACATTTTGGTTCTCGTTTGAGTTAAGAATTTGGCGTAATTTCTCTTTCTCCCACCGCCCATATCTCTCTCTCTCTCTCTCTCTCTCTCTCTCTCTCTCTCTGTCTATTCTTTCCTTTTCACTCGATAGCACTTTGCGTGTACAATATGTATTTTAAATAATGGAAATGACCGTTGTAAGTAATTCAAATGGAAATCGTCGAACGCAAATATTATGTGCGCGCGCGCCATTGGTGCGTGAAAATTTATATTGGAGTCTTGGAACTCTAATTTGGTGCCGCACATATAAACGATCACATTCGTTGTGATTGGCCAATAAAGCAGTTACTATATATTACCATTGATTTCAATATTTTCACCATTCGATTGCGATTGAACGGAACGGATTTGTTTTTACTTCTTTCACGCGACCAAATTAAATTCAAAATTGAACGCTTCGTTTCTTGAATCATTCGATGCGTTTATTCCTTTGGCCATTGTTTGCTCATCGACTGTGGGAGTTTAAAACGCTAATAATTTAATGGTTTTTATTTTCTCCTGAAGTTTTTCATTCATTTTGCATTGCTGTGCGTCCATTTATTTTTGCTCTTTGCGCCTTTCGTCGCTCATTGCTCGTCTCATCGAAGAAGAGAAATCGATAATTATGTAAATGCAGATAGCTGCAAACGAAGAGAGTTGGGAAAAAAAGATCAACCAGCAAAAGAGCGAGAAAGAGAAAAAGAGTTCAGGTAATGAGAAAAAAAAAATTAAAACTGAAAGCCAGCGAAAATCTCGTAACGGCTATTAAAATGACATTTTTAATAAGATTTTTGTGTGTGCTTTTTGTGTCATTCTTGGAATGTTCTTCTCAGTTAATTTTTTTTTCTTCTTCTCAATACACGCGCATGTGATGAGAAAGCCAAAGAACCAATGAACCTGCAATGCAAATGCAAGTGATGTTCTGACGTGAACCATACAACAGCGGCCTAACAAATTGGATAAGAGACTGGAGAAAGAATGAAAAATAAAACGAATAGCAAGCAACAAAGTCGATGCAAAAACAGACCGGACCACAAACAGAAAAACTAAATTTATTGTTATTGATGTGAATTTATTTGTAAATCGTTCTACGTCAATTGCCAGGAATTGCTTGTTGGCAAGGTTACAAGTTGGATGTGCTGCTGATGCATCCTCATTTTTAACATATTTAAAAAGAATATCTTTTTGTGCAACAAGAGAATGCCCGGTTTGCATTTGGTCATTGATTTTTTTTTGTCGCTTTTGCATCCAACCGATCACATTTGAATTCAAATTAGATTTTCTTGTTCGATGACATTAGCTCAGTTGAGTTCACGCAACGCTGCAAAGTCATACATTTAAATAACCATAATTGTCTCAATAACTTTCAATAATTTATCTACTGAACGACGTTCAAGTATTCACAAACTTCAAATATTTTCGAAATGAAAATTAGCCGAACGGTTCAAGTCATTGCGAAACATTGTGGTGGCATTTCGACTGGCAAATCTTTAAAAAGCGTTCAATATTGTTGTGAATGGTGTTTTTTGAATTTCTTTAACAAGGTATCAAAGGAATTAGTGGTCAATTTTTACAAACGATTTTTTAACTATAGACAAAAAAAAATGCTAATATTGACTAATGATTGTTTACGATTTCTAATCCCACTGGTTTTTTTCTCTCTCTCTTTGCTTTTATCTTTCAGAATAAACAGCCCAAATACAAACGGTAAGTTTGAATTTACAAAAAAATAAACTATATGAAAATCCATGACGGATCTTTTTTCTCACCATAGAAATACACAAGTTATTTAGAATGAAAAATGAAGCGATTTCATAGCGTTGCTAAAATGTAAAATTCGTTCCAATATTCAAAATCGAAAAAACAAACAATTTCAACAACTATCCGATGAAAGAATCAATGAATCTCAAGAGAATTTCGTAATAAGTGTAAAATTCTTCAATAATCGTGTAAAGCATTGCATGCTGAACGGAATAAAATATGGAAGACAATTTGTGTTTTTAATTGATCTCGATTTCACGGTTCCATACACATCATTTAAACGTGTATTTGAAACTTGTGAATATTTACATTTTTGCATTTTACAAACAACTTAATGGGTCGCTCATGGTTTCATTCTTTTTTTTAAATAATTTTGTTTTGTTCTCGTCCGAAGCCGAAAGAAATGTCTCATTTTTTGTTATTTATTTTTTTCGTATTTTTTTTTCTTCTCATTCGTTCTCTCCATTTGTCCAAATGTAATTTGGAAAATTGAACAGGTTCACGCAAATTACCCTCCTGGTGGAGTCGCGTTAATCGTTCCAATATGTCAGCGGACGCAGCACGAAATATAACAATTAAGCAAACAGTAGATAATATACGGCCGGGTTCACATGTGAATAGTAATTCAGGTGTTTGGACATGGTTGAGTACACGACGTCCATCGTCCAGTCCAATTGATCAGATAGGCGCATCATCTGGTTCGCCTGTTGAAAATCACTATACACATATGATGGACGATGCATACAGTCCAGAACCAACCGATGAAGCATTGTACGCTGAATTAGATCGTGAATCAATTCGTAGCGGCAATCCATCATACCAAAATACGGCGTATTCGCAATTCGGCGAACATGATATGCCAATTGTATCATCAGCACCATCTTCAGCATACTATTCGGATCTATCGACGACCGGGAATAATGTGGGCGATCGATGCTACGAAGTGGTTGGCATGACACATTTATCAGCACCAATGCCACACTGGGAATGCTCCGATACAAATTCAAATGGACGACGACCACCACGATTAGCCGCAATCAATGAATCAAGCGTACCATCCGATTATGTATAAGATGGCAAGGTATATGTGTTTGTGTGTGTTTGTAACCAAAATATGGTACGAGATGCAATATTTCTGTGGAACACAATTAGCCCCATAGATAATCTTCATGATTTAGATTTCGAAAAGAAAACACACACACATTTACTTTAAACTATTCTGTCATTTCTAATGAATTTAATCGACGAGCTTACTTATTTTACAGAACTTTTTTTACAAATAAGCGAAATATAGACACACAAATAAGGTTTAAACAAATGAAAACAAACAAAAAAAAATTCGATGAAAATGTGACGCGAGAAAATAAAAAAATATAGTGAAAATGTGATAATGTTCAACAAGTTAGCATAGTGAACATATTGATGAAGAAGAAAAAACAATTTCGATCAAGATCGTTGATCTTGTAAATTCCAGTATATAATTTTCCGAAACTGCAATCGAAGAAAATAAATACACACACACAAAAAACATGCATTTAAAACAGACAAACTAAAAGACAAGTGGCATAACGTCGAAGCATTTAGGTAAAATGAGCTTAAAACAAATACTATATGTATAGATATATTTTCGAGAAGGAACAAAGAGAAAAAATGCAGTGGGAGAAAAAAAGATGTATTTTATATAATAAAAACACAAATAATACAAAGCCATATAATATGTTCATCACTTTTTTCTCGTCTTGCTCTTTTGATGCGATCAATAAAATACAATGTTACAACGAACAGAGTGTAGTAGAAAAAAGTTTTAAGAAGAAGAAGAAAAAAAAAACGAATCACTGAAGACGATGGCGACGGCAGAAAATTCCAAATTAAATGCCATGAGACAAAACAGAAAATCTATTTAATTTATTAACCCAATTAAATTAAATGAATTCATGTAAAAATAACAGAGATAATAGCTAAAAAAGTACACACTCCACACGAAACTCATTATGCAATTTATAATCGAAACAAAGTCGTTTGTTGTTCTTGTTCCCATTTGTTTCTATATTCTTTCATTATTTGCTGTCATTCCATCGTTATGACAATGATTTATTTGATCTTGGTTTTGATTTGACAGATTTTCGCTACATAGTCCAATATGAATGGTAATATTCAACTATTCACACAAATCATAACTAACCTCAATATGAACAAAAATTGACATAAAACTGGATTTATCCGAAGTCTCAACCGTTTTTGGGATAAATTTTAGTTCAGATTTTTTCTGCTCAAATATTTAAGTGCTCAACATATATCCCTTTGGCATTTGAGCGGAAAAAATGCATACTAAAATTTATCCCAAAACGGTTGAGACTTCGGATAAATTGAGTTTTATGTCAATTTTTGTTCATATTGAGGTTAGTTGTCATTTGTGTGTTTGATTAAGCGATATAATTGCACCGCTATAAAAATCAAAATCAATTTCAAAACCATTAGTCATTGAATGAAACACCATGAAGACAAAAAATCCAATGCGATGAAAGAAAAAAAAACACGAACGGACAACAAACAAGCAAAATGATATGATGTATACAAATTGTACAAAACATTCCATAAAACATTATCGATAGGGCACAACATAAAATGTCCTAATGCGTGAAATGAAAAAAAAATCTCGATTAGAACACAAAATGCCAACCTAGATTTAAGCAAAATCAACTGTTAATTCCATATCGAAATTGACCGAAATCAATAAATGGATAAAAGAAAAATGTTTTGTAAAATCTTTGGATGAAAAAACAAAGACTTTTTTTTAAAATTATTTCACTTTGATATAACCGATTTTTTGTTTGTATCATGAACATGATTTAACCAAATTAATTTTTTTTTAAATAAATCAAAATAAAAGCAGCTCATAAATTCTTTTTCAATCAAAATTTAGACAATCAACAGCAATAATTCGATTGAATAAAATAAAACGATGACATGAAAATTGTTAACTTTACCTCCGAAATGTAAAACAATACAGTTAACTTAGAACAAATTTATATATATATCCAATAAACAATCATGTAATACAGGTTTTAAAAATTAAAATTAAACAAGTAAAATGGTATAAATAAACGAAAGCAAAAGGCGATAGATCAAAAGGAGAATAGACACCTGAGTAGGTATTTATAGTATAAATAGACTGCGAGAAAATAAAATTGAATTTAAAATTCTTGTAAATAAGCGAAACAATAATAACAAAAAAACAAAAACAAAAAAAAAATATTTATATGAAACGGAAAAACAGATTTTAAATGCGCAAAATTATCTCAATAAAATGACAAAGATGAAGAAAAAGCGAAAACAAAATAATCAAAAACCGATTTTTTCACATTCATTTCCACTCTGTATGGTGTTTGTTTTTCTTTTTTTTTAGTGTACTGTGCTGCTATGTGTGGTGTCTCTATGTTCATTCGGTGCAAGAGGCGTGCTTGTAATTGTACATTGATCATTGCTTGCGCTTGCTTGCACATAGCCCAAAGCGATCACATAAATTAAGATCAATAGCTAAAGGATTGGTTTCAATTGACAAATCAAAAAATCTATGGGTAAGTTTTGATGCATTGATTGAGAGTATGAGACTGTTTATTTTATATCAATCTGTGCAAATGTGAATAATTTCTTGAAGTATGTACGATTGAGCGCGCGCATACGTTCACTACATTTATATCGTGAACGAGCTGCAACGAGTATGCCATTTACCATAATTAAATGATTAATTGTTGTGCCATTTCTTCTTGACATTTCGCATTTTGAAATTACATTAGCCGATAGCCGCTTGTATCTTTTTTCGTCGCTCTTTGTTGCAATGTGAGAGAGAATTATATACGAAGTAAATATAATGTGGAACAGCCACGTCCAACGACATAACTGAGTAAGAAGAGGAAAAAGCATGCGTTTCTTTTGAGTTTTAGCATTGATATGTTTTTTTTTCTCTGTTTTGTATTCTCTGTGCATTCTGCCAATTCTTCGTTTGCTTTGTATTGGTTTCATCGCCGATGGACTATGCTTTGCTGTTGCTGACTTCTTTGATGCGTGATAAAATTCAACAATATCACATGACGCGATGTTTATCACGCGTAATTTGATTTATCGATGGCAATCATTTCATAGATGCCATCGAATCTATTCTATTCGACTGAATCTAGCCAGTGTTTTTAAAGGGATGGGATATTCTTGCACTGCGCGCAAGTGTCAAATTAATTGAAATATACATCATGCTGAATTTGGTTATTCGTTTTAGTTGGCTATCTTGAGTTGTTCTGTATCTTTTTATTTCTTGTCTCTCTTGCATTTAAAAAAAGCATATTTTTTTCTTTCGCATTCATCGAACGAGAAAAGAATGCATTTTCATTGTATTTATTAATCACACACATGATATCTTCGGTTATTCGTTTTTTTTACACTTTCTGTGATTTGCTTGCAATCGATCAAACCTCATTGAAAAGACAAAAGTGATACGAATTTCAAGCGGGGAACATAAGATGAAGAGAGATCGAACGAGATAGACGCACAGAGAGATAGAAAGGACAAAAAGATTTGGTAACCTCTACTCTACTCGACTGAGGTGAATCGAGATGTTCGAAATGGCGAAAGCAAAATGTTGTTGCATCAAAAATGATCTCATGTTGTTTCCAACCAAACCAGATATATATATATACAGATCTCCACATACGTGTTAAATGGATTTTTTTTCTTGCTTTCTGACATATTTCTCAATTCAATCCGTTTGGGGAAAAACTTTACCAACCAAACTAAACTAAAAGATATTCTATATGTGCTTGTGTGAGCAAGAAGAATCGAAATCAACGTTAAACAAACACCATCCGCGTATAATAATGCATGTAATATGAACTACAAAGATGATGTATTACATGCTATGAAGCAAACAGAAATCGGTTTTTACATTGGCATAAATGGAATTTAGTTTTGTGCTTGGTGTCGTTCTGTCCAAACTGAATTCTCGCGAACAGCACTTTTAGTTATATCCAGGCCCTTTTTTATCTCTCCATCCTCGCTCACCTCATTTCGCAGCACATATGGTCTCGTACGGAATTCGTTCCCTTGTATTATTTTTACATTTGCATATACAAATGCGAACAAAAAAATCATCTCATATTTCTTTGGTCGATCATGAACAGCATGCGCTGTTTGTGGAAAGAAAATGACAATTGAAATCATTTTTATCGATTCAAATCTTCAGTGCATATTCAATATTTATATACCTGGTTGAAAAAAAAAAATGGAGAGTGCATTGTAATAGAGATGGCGAAAACCGTACACTTTCAATCATATTTCATGCAATATCCGAAAAATGAACAGCGACAGCGTCGAGTGAGAGATGGAGAGATTTCAGCATTACAATTGAAAATCACTTAATGCTTCATATCAGCCGGTTAAATCAATCTGTCACTGTCAAAGTCATCGCAAATAATAATTTAGCTCCATCAACAACAAAGAGCCAATCATTTATTAATCATTAAGCAATTGAATCATTTGCATTTTGACGCAAATAACGCAAACCGGAGAAAATAAAAAGAGTGGTTTTCACTTTTTCCTGTTCATGAGACAGAGTGAGACAGGAAATCGATATATTTTCAGCATCGTTTTCAGCAGAGTTTTTCATCCAAACTTCAGAGTCTTCTAACAAATTTTAATAAAGAAGATAGAAAAAAAACAAACAAACCAGTAACCCGCTGATTAAGTTTTTATTTTTCATCTTCATTCACATGGATCATAATTATAAAGTTGTCGTTTGGTTTTATATATCGCGCCATCCATAATTTCCAAAAAAAACCACACCACGATAACAAACTCGTAAATAAACATTTGGCCAAGACACTGGCCTGATGACTGGTACTGTGACGACGTGTCTGCTTGTGTGAGTGAGAGAGTCGCACACTTAAATTACGATCGGTTGCATCGTATAATTAATGGCTTGCGTTCTTATTTTGTCCAGTATTTGCACGGCTCAAAAGCAATATATACTTGTTCGGACCATGATTCGATGTGTCTATGTTTATGTCAGTTATAGTGAACAACCAACAGACATGGTAACGATTTTATTATTATTATTATTTTTTTTGTGCTCAGTTTTTGCAACACCGAAGAAAATATTCAGTTGAATTCATTTAAAATGTTGTTGTCGTCGTCGTTGCTCTGTTTGGCTCGCTCGACTGTCAGCTACTGTTGTGCAGTAACAACGTGCTCGCACAAATAAGATGTTATGGACTGCTACATCAGTTGTGAAAAATCAATTGACAACTTAATACTATTTTTGCTCTCTGGATAGTTTATGTATAATTTACATAAAATCAGCGTCATTCCTGTTGAAAAATTGGATTATTTACAATGCTCAATGCTTCATCTTGCGAGAAAAATGGCAAAACAGTAAGTTAATTAAGGTAAAATAATTTAGCAAAACTGCTTGAAATAAAAACATTTTTTTTTATTCACTTGCTCTCATTCAATTGGAATGTGGCAGTGTTGCGCTTGTGTGTGGAGCGAGAAAGAAAAGCAATTAATCGATACTTAATTAAATCTTTTGAAATCTAATAAATTTGTTGCTACGACTGCTGGTTGCTGTTGTTGAAATGAAAGACCGCCAACGGAAACTCGACCAAAACAAGCACAACCTTTTAAATGGCAAAATGCAACGTAAACAAAAAAAAAAATTAAGCAGCAATGCAAAAGTGTTTTTTTAAATAGATTTTTAACATTAGGTTCTTAGCCATTGGTAGACTCAAAGAATTCCTCTCAGGTATATATAAATGATACAGAGCTAAAATACCGAAGAATTCTTAATTGGATCCGAAGGTAGGATGCTACATTTTTGTCTCATGAATGCCTTTTATGTCGCATATAAGGAAGAACTGGCTCACCATTTCTTGAAACAGTCCTGTCTCTTTCTCGCTCCCTCTTATTTTCTTTCGTTTGGTTTTTTATTGGCATTCGCCATCGACGCGATATCAATAAACGCATTTTGCGCAAAGAATTACGTATCAATGTCACATTGTTCATTAAAATGTATGTTGAAATTGAGATTTTGGTTTAAAAGTGATATTTGGTACGGACGAGCTTTCTTAAAAAGGCTCAGCACATAATTTGTGTGCGGTATTTTAGCCATCTTTTTTGTCATTGCATCGACCAATGCTATATTTTATTCGAAAAATGTTAATTTCAGTGCAACATTTGATGCAATTCATTCGACGTGACCGAAATTGTTTCATTCAAACAGATTACAAACAGAAAACTTTTTATTTAAATCTGAGGGGAATCGTTTTTATTGCTGTAAATTAAAAATAAAAATGCAAAAGCATTCGACCCGAAAAGCAGTACGAGAATAATGATTTTAATTTCTAAAACGGGTAAAAGATCCTGCTTAATAATATCTATTTTCATAATTTTTCATTCAAAGGCTCATTCATGTCGAAAAAGAAAATAATGAAACAAAAAATCTGAACATTTTCACAAATTGATTTATTTGCATTTGTATCGCATTTTTAATCTTAGTAACTTTCCAGAAATTGTTTTGTATTTCTTTTAAATTTAAATGACTTTTCAATTTGGTAAATATTTATTAGTTTTTTTTATTCATTTAATTCTGAATGTGTGTGAGTGTGTCGGGTGTTGCATAGAATTCTGAATTAAAATCGAATCTTTCAAGAAACTTTTATTCCATTTGCGTCCATTAAATTTATTTACTTCCATTTTTATTTGTTTAGCATATCACAATATAATAAATCACAAATATGAAATCACCAAAAGCAAATTGTACATAAATAGTTGTTATTGTTTTTTCTCGCATGGCATCAAGTGTGCTCAATGTGGAAGGCTTTCTTTGTTTTTTTTCCGCGCAAAAGTACAAGAGTTTTTCAAATGATTATAGAAAATTGCAGCGATTGCACATCAAAAAGCTGAGGAATCTGAGTCGTCGTACAAATTTTATGCTGGACTTAGAAGTTCCTTTGATTGGCGTTGAAGAAAATGTTCAGTGCGCTCATAAAATTATTCATAATTATCAAAAGAAATTTTTGATTCTAGGACCAGGCCATGGTACAAAGGCAGGGAGATTGGGATACGAATTTTGATTTCTTGACTCCATTTGATTTGAGCGACGAATTGTCATTTTCCTGTTTTCATTTTTCATATTCATTGTATAAATTTTACGCGAAAAAATAGAATTTTTCTGGCATTTATTTTTCAAAATAACATTCATATAGGTATGTATGCAAATAATTCGAAGATAAAAAAGGATGAAAGGTTCTAAGATGACTAACTGAATTATAAATGTGTATGTGGATGTGTGTTTTTTTTTTTAATATTTTGGTCGATTATTATCAAAGGGTGAGCGCTGCACATGTTGTGACTTCAAAATACTACAGATAAACTCCAACCGAGTAAAGTACGGTCACTACCATGCATCACATTCGAAATGCGTTACAAACTCACTTCCGATTAGCATAGATTGTGGTTGTGATTGCGCTTTACGCAATGTGTTTAATAGTGCAAATCGTGTTATGGTTCCCTTCTTTTTATCAGATAGCGTTGTATAAAATCTTTTGCTTGCGCATATCCATTGATTAGAATTTTTTAATTCGATACTTTTAGAATTTAAAAAAATCAGCAACATTGAATTTGTTAATTTAATATATTTAAGTGTGAGAATAAAAATTAATTAAGTAGCTTCACAATTTTGGTTTTGTTTTTCTTTGTTTGAATTTTTATCATTTGAACTTATGCCTGCATTTTTGAATTGTAGTGAGTGTGTCAAAAAGGGATTTTTTTTCTACCACTTGTTATTATTTACAAAGGGAATTTCGATTTTTTAGACACGCACACACATCGTTCCACTCGCCGTTATCGTTTTAAAAATTGGATTTTAATTAATGAAGTTTAAAGATTAGAATGGTTTTTATTCGTTTCTCTTTGTATTTCAATCGTTTATAAATTTTGCATAGCACAATCTCACATTTTTTCATTGATAGAATTTTTTATTTTTAAAAATTGTTTTTCCATATTTTTTTTATTTCAAATAATAAGTTTTTATTTTCAAAAACGAACTTTTTGTTTGTGTTTATGTGCTCATTGAATATGTTCACATTATAATTTATTTTAAAAAAATATAACGTTTGTTTGCTTCAACCATATCGCCCAATGGAGAAAAAACACCATTACAAATGTCATCAGTTCGTTTTACAAAAATGATTCTCTTTGGAAATTGAACGGGAGGAGGAATTATACTCCTTTTTATTTATGAAACACAAACAATCAATGACATTCCATAATAATGTATTTTATGCACTTGTGGGGGCATTCAGTACTCAATACAATTTCTACAGTATTTAATTACTTATAATTTTTGGCTCGTTAAAATACATAATTGTACATGGTGCATTAATTTACTTTCATTATTTGTTTTCTTTTTTCAATTATTTAATTAATTTTTTCCTATTTCTCCAGTCATATTCATTTTTTAGTTTGGGCTAGAAAAATTTCGTTCACTTTTGAGATTTTTTTTTGACAATTCCATAATTTGAAATTTTCCTGGATGCAGTTCAAATTATAGTTTTTATTGAAATTGAAGTGAAGTTTTGAAGTGAAACGATACAAATTTTTGAATTGTAATTGAAATATTACGGAATCGTCAAAACAAAATTTCAAAAGTGAACAAAACTTTACTTGCCCACTTTAGTTGTTTCGTCTGTTTTATTAATTTAATTTAAAATCATTTTCTTTTCATTGTTTTTTGTTGAATAATTAATAACAGAAACAGTACAACATCGTATAAAATGTATAAGAAATGATAAACCGAGACACAAACACCTATCTTCTTGTCATAATTTCCAAAATAATTTTGCCGATGTGCAACGAAATCAGTTCAATACAGTCAACATTTCTTTTTTTTTATCGGATATAATTTTATTGTTGTGTTTATTTGTGATGAAGCGACAAAATTCTTTGATACATTAAGTGCCATCACAAAGTGTTAATGCAAAAATTGTCTTGAATCATTTGACACCTCATTTGAAACATGCAAATGAAATGTTTATTATTTATCACAACAACCAGTCACCGTCAAGAACAACCGGAAAAAAATTCTGACAAAATGATTTTCCAAAAATTTACAGTGACAATGAATATGATTCAAGATATGGCAATTTACTGAAAACAAAGAATGAAAAATGACCAAACAGAACATGTTTGCTCCGAATAAATACGGTAGTTCTATTGAACCAGTACAGTAATTTTTTGAAAGATTTGAGTACATTTTTTTTTATTTCAGATCGATTACTCTTTGTTTTGTTCAAGGAAATACATTCTAAGCAGATATGAATGATAAACGAGAAATTTAAAGAGAACAAAAAACCATAAGAGTGCAATAACTCATCGATCGAAATTTTTCTGTTCATTCAAACGAATACAACAATAACAATATTTAGAGAAAAAAAAACAGTTGTGCTCACGTCTGATATCTGGGCCTGAGCAATAACGTATGGCTTTGCACAAAAGTACACAGCCAAGTGTGAATCATGGACACACACACACACATATATCGAAGCCTTTACACTATATGGCACTTCTGTTCGGCTTACGTGTATAAGAGTCTAAATCATTTTTTTTGTGTTATCGTTTTTTCGTCGACATTATTGTCGTTCATGAGCTGTCCGTCATTTATCAATTAGCCATGATAAAGCTGTGGAGAGTATTTTGAGCATTGAGATGTGTGTGCATGTGAATGCGATTTATTCTTTTGATGAAACACGTTCAAGTGTGAATGCACCGATTTGCCAATGTTTCTCTTCTGTGTATGTGTGTGTGTTCGAACACTTCGGCGTGTACATATGACGTTTTTTTTTTTCTCAAAAGAAATGATTAGATTTTTTAGATTTTTTATATTTTGCTATCCGCCGCCGATCGCGTATATGTAACATCGAATTTCAATTAAAATGAGAAAATACTGTGTATTAACAAATGCTTTTGTCTTCAGTGTCTGTCTGTCAATCATTCTCCCAACAGCCCATTGGATTGTGGTGTTTGTGATGTAAATTCAATACATTTAGGTATTCTGAGAAGGTAACTTATATTTTATGAACAAACATTTGTATGATCAACGAAAACGATGAGAGCGAGCGCGCGCGCGCTAGGTGTTCAATATGGTTTGCGAATTTCAATTCGTAAACATTGTGTACGAAATAATTTGTTAATATATATAATAGATATATCTTAAAGTAATCGATGTGGATTAATTTGATTTGTATATATGCACATCAACACATTTTTGTTTTGGTCAATATTAAATGCTCATCATTAAAAATCGATGTTTTGGTTGTTGTCTCTTTTGTTATTTGTTTAACTGTCATCATCGACCAAAAGTGTTAATTATTTTCGTGCATGAAAAAACATGTTAAATAATTTAAAATACTTTTTAATTCAGTTTAATTAGGCTCCATCGAAAGACAAAATTCCATTGCTCAACTGCTTAAGTGAGTGTGGTCAGCATAAATAGTATTTGTAACAGCAGTTTCTAAGTGAGTATATCAAACTTATCTCTCTTTATCAATAACTAAAACCAACAAAAAATAATATCGATGAATTTTTATGGTGTCGTCAGATGGGTTCCATTTTTTTTTGTTTAAACTCCACTAATATCGTAAGAAAATTGTAGGTTACAAAAAATCAAATGAATTCAATCAATGACGTTTTTTATATTCATCTTTTTTTATATAACGTTTTGGTTGGAGAGTATATGTTCACAACGCAAATTATGATTTGGACATTTTTTTATAAAAAGAAATAGATGTGGACTTTTGGTATGGGTGTAAATGTGGATGTGATTCGCTTGTAGTATAATTCATCTTTCGCTCATTTTGTTAACATTTCTTCAGAAAGCGTTTCATTTTGAAGTTGCTGTTGCTGTTTTTATAATTGATAATGACAATTCTAAGCTAAAAATTAATTTATTTTCTAATCATTTTTGAATTTATTATTGACTATAGCTGTGCTGAATCTTGTTGCATGAGAGGCGATAGAGGTCCAGTCTTTCTTCCACCTTCATACTCGTATTCGTAGTGAATGTCTAGCGACACACCTAAGTCAATCCAAAACGGCCGAAACCAACGAGATGACATAAAAAAGAAGAGAGAAAGAGAGAAAAACATAGATAAATGGCAATTTTTAGTTGAACAAACATCAAAAATGAATTTGATAAATAAGTAGAAAATTCACAAAGATTTATTTACAGCGGTTTCATAGAGGTCTGCAGGTGCGCAGTACATGAAAAGTACCGTTATAAGCACGGGTTGTGCGAGCAAGCAAAATCATTTGCCGACAACGGAGAGAGTGAAAAAGAGAGTTTTTGATTGTTGGTTTATTACAGTTTAAGTTTTTGTTTTGTTTTTGGAATTTGTGTGCCAAGAGTTTGTGTATGTGGTGATATGTTCCACTTCCACTTTACACTTTGTTTTGATTTTATTTTATTTGTTTTCTTTTTTTTTGGTCAAAAGAAGCATTGAGGGTGCCATTTTATTTTTGTTAAACGGTAGTTTTGCCCATGCAGTCCTCTAGCGATTATTTGGTTCTAATAATGGTGCTATAAAAAAATCAATTGTCAATTAATTTATCGTTGTCTATTTCCATTTGGTTATTGAATAGTATAAGATATTTCTTCCAGTTGAAATTATATTTGAATTGAACAGGGAGCAGATAAAGAAAAAAAACAATTAAATCATTTGAAATGTAGAGCAATAAGGCAAAATAAAAACAAATCATTTGATTTAAAATTAATCGGAGCAGAAATATTGAACGGAACCAACAAATCAAAAACTAAAGAAAAATCATTTCAACGTGGTCGGTCAATTTTTAATCGAAACCATAATATACTGTTTACAAAAGAATTTTACTAAAAACTAATTATAAAACGAAACAAAAACTAAATAATAAAAAAAAAGAAATTATAAAAAACTGGATGAATTATTACGTTTTTTCTTCTTCTCACCGGATGGTCGTCGCATCGGATCATTCTGTTCATTTGGTATGAAAATGGCTACCACTATAGCTAATGCCACCATAAATGCACCAAATACAAAAGGCGGTCCTGGCGCCAACGTCGTATACTCCTCCAACGTGTTTATCGTTTCGTTTCGTATGCCGGCCAATGCATCGACGTTCTGATTTAATTTCTGGTGCTCGTCATTTAGATCAACATGGAATATATAAAATATCACACCGAACATGGCTGGTCCCAAACCATTACATAGACCTCTCATTCCAGTAACCATTCCCTGCATTACACCTATAGTAAATAACAAAGTTCAAAATGAATTTTTATTCTTTTGTTTTCATTGTGAGAAATGTGATTTTTCCAAAGCACGGCAGTGACAAGAAACGACCGAAGCGCTCGCATCGGTTGCCAGATGAACTATAGCAACCCTATTGGTTGCTGGTACAAATTTGTGCCATTATTCAATGCTGCGTTGCCCAACTGTCACTACTGTCATGCTTTGGATTTTTCAATCGAAATTCGTACCTTGAGTGTCCATGTCCGAATGAATGGAGACAAATGCGCTGATTGCAGGATAAGTTATTGATCCCAATGAAGCTAATATACCTGCCGCCCACATCATCCTGAAATTAATTTATATTGTTTATTAAAGCTCAATAAAAAAAATTTGAATAAAATATGTGCGGCTTGTGCCGTAATAAATATCTTACCATGTTTGGCTACCAAAGCCATACCACAACATTTGCATCATTTCAAAGAATAAGCCCATTATGATGGTTCGTTTAGCTCCAAACACCCGCATCAAACAGCCTAGCACTAATTGGGCAACTATACTTAGAATACCGATAACGGCTATAAATATTGAAACTTGACCCGAACTGAAACCCATCTTCAGTTTCAAGTACACAAATATACAGGAATATTGACCAGCTTCGGGTAAATACGATAAAAATACAGCGACACATTGCATTAAGATCGTATGATCCAAACCCGCCTTTCGTAATGCCTAAACGAAAAGCAAATAGAATTATTACAATGATCAAATCATCGGCTATGACAATGTAACACTTACTGCAAATGGATCAGCCTGTTCCCAACTTATCGGAGCTCCCCATGAGCTCGGTCGAACTTTTTCTGGCAGACTTTCTGGTACGGCAACTAATATGAAAAATACATCTAAAACAGCAATCGCTGTGGCTAAGGCTACAATTAATGTATCGCTATAAACTTCACGCAAATATTCTCCGAGTGCCGGAGATATAACCTAAAATCAATTCAGATAATTAACATTTAGAGAAATTCAAATGAAATAAATTGAAAGTATTACCAGACTAGCGGCAAATGTGGCTGATACCAAGCCATAGGCTCTTGATCGATCCTCAGTAGTAGTGACATCGGCAACGTATGCAAATACAACCGAAAATGTCACCGCAAACACTCCACTAATTGAGATCATCGCAAAGAACCACCTGAATTTGTATTGAAAACAATGCACATGGCATGAGATGAAAATGATTAACTGGAGTAAAATGTGGCAAAAAGCATCTAACTCGATTTTAAATTCGCAGAAATCTGTAGAAAAACGTTGAAAATTGCGAACGTTCGCAAAAACAAATTTACACGAATTTCTGCGAATTTTTCGAATGTCATGTTCTCAGAAATTCAAACGAATTTTGAAAAAACTGAACTTTTTAAAATCATAGTTAAAAGTCATTTGTATGGGAAAAAGCTGTTTGGCTAAAAGTTATCACTCACCATGTATTGATTGTCATCAATGGAATCGGTGCACATGTGAAAAATACGGTGATCAAAAGAAAAAACTTTCGACCCCACACATCGGACAATGCACCTATCAATGGTGCACTGAGAAACGATAGAATTCCTTTTATGCCCATTACTAAACCATTCATTAGAAATGTATGGTCAGGAAATGTGTGATTTAAGACCTGCAAAATAGGCACAGAAAACGAATGTCATTTTGATTTGGATGTTTCGGTGTTATTCATAAATAATTTCGTTCTACTTACGGTTATCACAGGCATAGTCAGAAGTCCCCATGCGAAAAACTCTAGAAATATCACAACTAACGCATGATAGACGCTTGGCTCCCCGATCCCGGCACTCTGAAATTCATACGAAAATTAATTATTACATTCAATTCGGCGAGAGAAAAAAAAAATGAAGAAAAAAAATGAATGTTATAAACAAGCTTTTAATTTGCATTAAGAAAAAACAACACGAACAACTAATATCTCGTTACAAATGTTGCAAAACATTTAAAACAAATAACAATTGATTTAAAAAAGAAAACAAAGAAAAACGTAATAAATTTATTTAATTAGTGTTAAAATGTCACATGGAATAAAAATGCCCCATTTAATGCGTTCATGCGTAATCAAATCTGAATATGTTCAATCATACAAAATAATGTTTTGTTGTAAACTTTGCTTGAGTAAATGCGATTGATAATTTTTCCATTTGAAATTCAATGTGCAGTGTATAAACGAGTGATGTGTGCGAACAATTCTGATAAAATAAAAATCAAAGAATGCTAGTTTCTCAAGTTGTGTTTGCAATATTGTAAAAATGCAAAGAATGAAAGGAGAGTGAAACCAGCAGCAACAACAACAGTCAATTGTAGAAGCGTGCATGACACGTAACACAGTCGTGTGTGTGTGTGTGTGTGTGTGTGTGTGATATTAAAGAATTTGAGTCAATTTAGCAATTGTTATGACCTCGTGATCATTTAGCTATTGGCTGTTTTGTATTCTATCTTTTTGACAATAAACATCTATTCTTCGTATTACAATAGAACCCATTCAATTGATATATGAATATGTGCAATGCTTGGATTATGCAGCAACACACACTTGACCTTATCAAAACTTAACAAATTTAACAAACCGCTTGTATCAATACAAACAACACAGATTAATGCTTAAAACATAATGAGAGTTAATGAGAAAGACAGACGGGATTTTTTTCTTCTTCTACGCATCCAAATCAGTTGATTAGCTTTCATACGGATACACCGCATACAAAAGGTAAGACAGTCCTTAGTCAGCCGGAAATTTCTTTAAAGCGAATAATTGGTCTAATTTTCTTTTTTCCCCAAAATTCTTGTAGCAATGGTTGAACATTTATCGATTCGATTGCATTAAACAATTTTCATATTTATATACATATAGACAGGTGTACTCGTACAATTGAAAACGAAAATATCATTTCCATCAATGTTTCATTGACAAAGTTGCACATTATAAATTAAAATGTGTGCAAAATAAAAAAAAAACAAAGAAATCCAAAATCAATTTGATCAATTTCATAAATTTAAAGATCGGTTGACAAACTTTTTCTCTTGTTGTCCTTTTTCACGGCAATTTCAAACGTTCATAAGCTCAATGAAATTTCATTTTTGTTTACCACAAATAAAAAAAAAGACGAGACGTGCTGCATTGTAAACAGTTGTCATTTAAATATATTTAGATTTATCTACGAATTTCTACGTGTATATGTTTGAAACTATTTATGGTAGAAAAATACGAAGAAAAAACAAACAACCTAATGTAAATCATGTGTAGCAAGTCGAGATTACACAAAATTATGAAGCCATTTTTTGCTTATTGATTGAATGTCAATGCGATTTAATTTTACCGTGTGTGTAAGTGGCGCGAGTGCACATACAGTTCGACGGCTTCAGTAAACTTTACAGAGACTCACAATTTTCTACATACACATATGTTTTGTGCCTTTGAAAAATTTATTTTTTTCGGATGAACTAATGTTTTTTTTTTTCTTTTGAAGTTTTTTTGTTAGTCTGGATGTGAATTGAATTGATTCGATTGATTGACAGTTTTTTTTTTTGAACAAAACATAAAATAAGCAAAATGAAGCAGTCACATGCATCATTAACTTCAAGAACGATGTCAACAAAACGAAACAAATAACGTAATTTATATATAATGTTTGAAGATTAATACAACAGCATATGTAAGATATGAGCAATGTTGATATTAATGGGGCTTTATCAATTTAATTTATTAAGAAAAAAACGAAATATAAATATAATTTCAACGTAATAAGTAACGAAAAAAATAAAAATAATTTGGAAACTCATGAATGAGAGAACACCGATACAAACTGACACCAATCTAGAATTGGTTGGTTACAATTAGCTGACCACATTTGTTGTATATTTATGTATGTGGTAGTGGTGGCAGCGGCGATTGCGGTGGCAGCGGCCACATAAAACACGAGAGATATTAAGCGGATACACAAAATCGGTAAAAAATAACCTTGCAACGATTGAAGATCCTGTGCACCATAAATAAATGGTGCTCCTGTTTGATAGCCATATAAATGGCATTCGGTGTGGATGCAGTTTTTCGAAGACGATCACAATGTTCGGTATCGTTAATGAGTGAACTTTGACATTTTCCAGTTGTCGTCATATTGGTTAGATGAATGAAACTTCGGCATTTTCGAAACGTCGATGATGATGATGATTGTGCAATCGATTGTGTATTCAATTGTTGATTCGATGGATTCACAGCGGTTACAGTGGCGGCTGTCAAATGATTCGTTACATTATTATGCTTTTTAGCGAAATTATCGAATGTAATGCTGTTTCGAATTGGCGGCGATACGAAGCCCGATTGTGTTTGAGTTGAATTGGTATCGTCAGATGAACTACAACTAGTACTCATGTGAAGCATTGTATTTGTCATACTCATCTCGATTGTTATGCATTCATTTGAAATTTAAAAAAATCGAATTTGATTCGAATATATTCCAACTTTGAAATGTTATTCACTCTTACTGTTTTTATAGAAAACGTTAGTAGAGATCCAAACAATGGATTCTCTCTCTCGTTCTGCGACAAATCAAAACAGTTGGTGTATTTTATTCATTCGATCGACGGGGTGTTAAAATCATAAACGCCTACACCGCACGAAACAACAACAAACCTAAACTTATTCGCAGCTGAAAGTCACGATGTCGGCATAGAAATTGCGGAAAATACTTGACGACTTAATTTTAGCCGAAATTGTGTTGTGTTATTCAAAATTCTCTTCTTATTTATGACAATTTCAGTGAATTTGATTAAACGTTGGGTTGTCTGCTGAGCACGACAGCGCATGCATGTATGTGTGTCGTGTGTATTATTTAATTTGTCGCCACGGTTGTTGACTATAATTCACTTTAGAATGCGCCAATAAATGTATGCCTTGAATTGTTATGCTACTGTGCGTCGTTGACTGTTGTTGATGTCGTCGTGGTCGTTGTTGGCGGCGGCATCATCGCATTACCAATTCTTATTTTTTTTCTCACTTTCTGGGTGTGCGTGAGTGTATATATGAGTATGTGCGAGTTCTGTTTTTTTTTTTGCTTTTGTTGCGAACGAGCGAATGCAAACTATCAAATTGGGTCAGTCAATTTGTGTGTTCAGCATTTAAAATGTTCAAGCTTTGAGCTTTTGGTCTCATAGAATTATGTGTATAATGTTATTGTTTTCTATGTCTTTAATTTTATGTATTCTAAATTGAAATTTATGAGCAAATACGTAAACAATATTTTGGACGTAATGCAATACACGCAAACATCAATCCAGACACGCTTAAGTTTCGATTTTTGACTGAAAAAATTATACGGTAAAAGACAAAGAGAGAAATACAAAAAAGAAAATAAATATAGAGATAAATAATTTGTTTTGTTGCTGTTTTTGTTTAATTTATATTTAAGTCTGTCACTTCTTCTTTTTTTATTAAATTATTTCGATTGCTGCTTTTCAACTGCACGTTTTTTCTTTTATCGTTTTAAGCAATTAACTATAAAAATAAATTCTATTGTAAAATTTTGTTTGCATTCCCAAGGCAAACATTGTTCGGTTTGGTATTTTGATTACCTTTCAGATGAAGAGATAGTGTGTTTGCTATCACTTCTATCATCGTAGTTTTTTTTTTAAACTTGATTATATGCCTGTTTTTATTATTTTTTATAGTCAATGGATCTCAGAAAGAGGTGAGTATATGTGTGAAAATGAAATCCAAAAATGATCAGCTAATGGATTGTTTTTTTGTTTTTTGTTTTAACGTACAGAAACGAATGAATGAAATTTATGTCTTCCAATGAACAACCGGAAAATTAGACTTTTTTTGTACAATTAACACAAAATAACGAAGTTCAATTAGAAGCTTACTAAATTTTAAGACTAAATGTGAATGAAGTGGATGACAATTATGCATCAGCGGTTCGATAAGTAAAACAAAGTAAACAAGTGGGTAAATTTTCGAATGGAGAAAATAACAAACACAAATATGTATTTTATGATGAAATTAAAAATAAAGAAATAAGGGATTACATGAGATTTAAATATGTTTGTTCGAATGAATTGTTTGGACCAAGCACATGTTTCGAAATATAAGCAGACGAGAGAAAAAAAGAATAAATTGAATCCCAGACTGTCACGCGTCCTCGATACAAATAACAACATCGAACAAAATAAAAATTAAATCATATTGATACATATTGAACGCAGCTGCGAAAATAATTTAATAAAGACGGACCAGAGCAAAATGATAAGGTGTCATAGAATATTTATTAATTTTTCTCAAAAATAAATCGAAAAACACCACATTCAAATATGCACAGCTTTCGCACATTTTGACTACGTACATGAAAATGTTGTTGCAAAAATAATCTGCATCATCTCAGTTCATTAAACTGATCTTGAAACATACATTGCGATTGAAATATTATTTTGAAAACAAAAACACCATCAAATTGATGCAGTTGCTTTTGGCGTTGAAAACAGATTTTAAAAAAAAATTATATGAAAATCCTTTGTAATACGATAACCATATGCAAATGTTAATTACCGCTGACGGTGAAAAATATTTTTTTTTCAACACAAAATATGGTGTTCTCATCTCGTAAATCGTTCAATTGCAGCTGATACAATGCACCACTAGTTTTTTTCTTCTCTCGAATAGTCGTATAATTAACGGCATTTTACATACAAAAACCATTTGGATTGAATTTAAATCCACGTTCACCGACGCATTGCCTTTTATTCATCATAGCAAATTGTTTGTATTCCTTAATGTGGCGTACACATTAGTCACAGCAACTTTTCTTCTTCTTCTTCTTCTTCATTAAAACAGATACACGCGATTATATCTCGATAATAACAATGTCATTCAAATTGTGTGTGTGTATATATCTCACAAAACGACAATCATTAAAATAAAACGAAATCAGTTTTAATTGACGACGATGTCAAATTTACATCATGTTATCAACAAATTGACGATCATTGTGAAAATGACCGTTAGCTCTTTGAAATGAACGATAAAATATGATAAGAATATGATTGTTAAATGGAATTACAAATTAATGTCTTTATTGTTGCACAGCACTTATTATCTTATCAAAATATTTGAATACATCACCTTAGTAAATTCTACGAATTTCGAAATGGAACCCATGATTTTTCTTCGGCTGAACGTTAACTGTGAAAATTTCTTGAGAGATTCGGGGTTTTTCTGTGTTTAAATTAAAAATCACGTCTTTATCTTAAAAGCTTTCAAATACCATTTGGCCGATTGAGAAATGTCATTCCTATGTACACCGAACATTCGATATATTTTGTTTATTTTTCATGAAATTTATGTTTACACGCAACAAGAAGAAATAATATTCATCACCGTTCTTTGAACGAGAGTGAGAGATAACAAAGACCAAACCCCTCGCCACAAAAATACAATTGAATTCATTTGGTCAATATTATATTCATGGATGAATTTGAACGTGAGCAATCAGTATGTACATGCGAATGGCCGAAACAACGCAACGAAACACAAGGCTATATACAAATCCAAAAGGAAATATTTACATGTGTATTTCAATATTTACGTGAGCGAAAAAAAAATATGAATCGGCAACGAAATCTTTATTTTGCCAAGTAAACAAATGTATCAATATATACAATATATGCAATGAATACCAAAATGAAATATTGTCACTCTTCTACAAAGTGGACACATTCAAATAAAAAAAGGCAAATATTATAACGCATTTTTAATTTTTTTTTTTGCTAGGATTTTATTGAATTTCGTTTCAATTGCTACGGAAGTTAAAGGTTGCAAGAAGGGCATTTTGGTTTCCATTTCGAAATTAATTGCTTTTAATATCATTTACTTTCATTTTATGTCAATCAATCGAAAATGAACAAATCATTGAATGGAAAAAATCTAAGCGTTTTTTTTTTCAAAAGTCAACGAACTATGCTCTGAAAACTATTAGCCAGAATAAGTGCGGTTGTTTGGGAGTTATGCGCAAAGCGTTTGCTGGAGTTTTACTTTTATTGAGAATAAAAGCGAAAATCACTGAAATATTAATCTTGGTGTGTGACCTATGGAATGTATGCTTTCCATCTATATGTATACATCTATAGAATGAGCAGTGATTTTAAGTATAGAACGATTTTGAGTCATGTGGAGGAGACTGTTTCGTCAATTTTTATTTTGTGTTCTCTTCAATCGGTAGTGTTATGTGGGAAACAGACGCGCATGTTTTGTGCAACGCATTGAAGGTAGACGGTAACAATGAATGGCTATATCATACGATACAAAATGAACACTAGCAAATGTATTTAAAGATTTATGAACTACTGACTACACATTTCAAATGAACATTTTTCTTTGCGTTCTCTTTGTGAATCCAAAAGAGTTTGATTTCAAAGGTTTTTCATTTTTCTTCAGTTCATTGCATGTCAGTTAGAAAATATCGTTTTTCCACTATTAAGCTTATATATGTAATTAATATTTACGAATTCGTCGGCGGGGGTCATTGTAATATATTCGACAGAAAAAAGAGTCAAAAACATTGATTGACATTTCGTTTGTATGAACACGTCCATCGAATGGTAATAATGTAATTGTTTCTAGTAGGTCACACATTCGAGCAACGATGACGATAATGATGACACAAGACGCCGAATATGGAATGCCCAGGGACCTTATTCATGATACGCAAACACAATAGAAAAACAACACCACAAAAAATCTATATTCTTTCATCATTTTCATGTGATGACAGAAGCGAGAAAGAGTTAGAAACAGATAGATACATAGATAGAGTGAAAATATGGCCTACCAAAGGCGTATCTAATAGTTGTACGCGGTTCGTTTTTCTTTTGATTATCTCCAAGCATAATGCGTTTCACGAAATGACTATGTGTAAGAATCTGTGTCGTTTTATCGTTATCTCAAGGCACACTGTGATGACACATCAAGTCAATACATTCGCTCCGAAATTCGCAAAGATTTTTATACGCGTACGTCAATTTTTGGTGAGAACAATTGCTTATCGTTTTTTTTTGGAAACCGGTATTTATGAACAATGTTTGTCATTGTGCTTAATTTCAACGAAAATTTGATTATGATTTTTTTTTGTTCACAAAACAAGAAACATTGAAGAAAAGACATATTTTGAGCAGAGATTTGACAGGCGAGACAGAGATTTGATAAGAACATATAATAAAAAAAAATTTGAGAAAAATATGAAACAATGGAATTGTGGGCTTAAGAAGTATTGGCAACAACTGCGTATGGCAACTAAACATAGCGATATTAATTAATTGTATCCGTGATCGCGTACGTTAGAAACGAGATACAATACAGCATCACAACGGAAACTGCTATAATAAGTGCTCATCATTTAGTTCAAGTACGTAGTTTGTTGTTGAAGATACGTCACACTCACAATATTTTTAACGTAGAAAAAGAGAGCAACCATATCCTGATCACAGGAATCACACTCTAATATGCATAGTTAAAAAAAAAAGATTTCATCGTCAATTGATTGACCCAAAATACAATAACACCAACAAATAAAATACAACATACTGAGCCGTAAAAGTAGCATATTTCATGTAAAAAATTTGATACGGACAATTTATGTTGTTTATAATTTGAACAATGACAAACAAATCCAAGTGTGAGAGCAGAATGTAACAGAATGATTCTGCACTGAGTTCGACATTATGTAGCGCCGTGTATATAACTGGCTTATTATTATTTTACTGTCATATGTACGCGCTCTGTCTTTCAGAAGGTCGTATAAATTTTCAGTGGTGTTTTGTTAAGCGAACAGAGATGGGCGAGTGGGAGAGACAGATAGATAGAGAGACACACAAACTGAGAAACACATTAAGAGAAATATGAAAAATAGAAACATATTTATCAAACCAAATCACACTCACACGCATGCCATTGTAATAAGTTGGTTGGTGAATTGAGTTATTCTATTTTATTGCCATACATCTATCTTAAAAAAAGCATTGATTTATGTTATTTTATACGAAATAAATTCGAACTGAATAAAAAAAAGAAATGGCCAACGAAAGATTACTCGAAAATGAACGAAATGAAAAATATTGAACATTTCGCATGGTTACAAGCAAATAGAATATGCATAAAATGCCACACACAGGGAAAAAAAGACACACACAAACGGTACTCGTCAAAAATCATTATTGCATGAACACAGAATTGCCAATATGGTAAATAAGCTATACAATGCATATTTAAATGGTGAGAGAATTGCACATTCAGATGACAGCAGAACAATATATAGAGAGAAAGAGGCTTGAATTGTGTATATTATACATATGTGAGAAGCGAAAAAAAAATGATTTTTTTTCTACATGAATGAGGCGCGTGCTTCCTGTTGGTCTTTTATTTGACTATATAGTATATTGTCTGATTGTTTAAATTAGATGATAAGGTTAACCTTTTTTTTTTGTTTTCTATTTGTTTTTCTTATATGTATATTTTGTAATGTTGTTATTCTTCATAATTGGTATGTTTAACGAGTGTTTCATTTTTTTCTATTTACATTTGGTCACACTTACCGTGATCACACCATCCTTGATTGCTTTTCTGTTTCGAATAACCATACCGATGGGCTTTCGGATGAACTTCTTTGGCATGGCCGTCAAACCGAAAATTCCGAATATTCACACGAATATTCGTGTTTGCAATCCGTGTATTGCTTCTCTTTTTCGATTCTCTTAAATGTTAGAGAAAGTGAGAAAGAGAATACTTGCAACACACGCCACACACAAACACACAATATCTCACACAATTATACACTTTGAATGTGTCTGTGTGTGTGTGTGTGTGTTTGAACTATTTACTTTTGCTTATGATTGATTTTGGTTGTTTCGTACTTTATTTTTTGTTTTCGGTTTGCAATGATTTTGTGAAAAATACTATTAATTATGTATATTTTTTCGGCTATTCGCTTTCGCCGAACTATTCATTGCATGGAGGCAAATCATTGATTTTGTGGATCTCCTTGGTGGTACAAGTATTTTTTTTTCTTGTCGTTGTTTCTGTTGCTACTAATACTACACTGCTGATGACAATGTTGGTGATGATGATGATTGTGATGTTACTGTTGTTGGCTTGATAATGGCTCGCAGTGGTCGAATCCAAAATAATCGTCGAACGAAGAACATTCACATATATAAAAAAAAACTTGAAAACAATAACTAAATGAAGCTACCGTTTTTTTTTCTATCCTTCTTTTTCTCGCACTCTCTTAAACTTTTTTTTTGGTTGTTGTTGATTGAAATTCAGTCCACTAAATTCGTTTCAATATGCACATCGCTTCCTTCCCGCACATCATCATTTTTTTTCTTCTCTTGTAAGGTGTAATTGGCGATTCTTTTTTTTTCAACAACAATTTAATACGACATCTGATCTACTTGTATCCAAAACGCAAAGAATCATTTCCGATGTACAAGAATCATTGTATTTATTTGTGTTTTACACATTTTGCTGGCAAATATTTGCCACACACAATTGGAATCAATTCACTTTCATTTAAACGAAGATGAAAAATATATAGATTATTTTTTTTCTTTTGAAAAATTAAAAAACGAAACGAATAAACGTGTTTGGAAACAAATTAAAATTCGAAAACCAAATATGAACTGTCCTTTTTCGAATTTTCTGTTTTTTTTTTTTCTTAATTTGAAGGAGAACGAAAAATAAAACTTATTTTCCACGCACTTGAATGTTGAAACAAGAGAAATGGTTACTCAATATTCACTGAGGCAATTGACGTATTTTTTTTTGTTCTTTCATTGAATGCGTCACATAGGACAGATGTGCTGAAGTTGTATACATATACAAGTATGTATTTTCAAATTGGTATAGGTTTGGTGTGCGCACAACATTGAATATATGGCGTCGTTTATCTGTCAAGAAGAAGAAAATTTGGAATGTCCCATAGATACCGTGCATGATGACAGCGACAGGTGCTTTGGTTTTCAATATCCATTTTTTTTCATGTCGTTTTTTTTCTCGAATTTTTATAAGCGGCATATATTTTCGAACGTGTGAAAATGGGTTTGGAAAAAAAATGTATAGCATATATATCGGAAAAATATTTTTTTCGGTTAAATTAAAGAACGATGTATTGGAATTTCGAAGGAAAACATTATTAATTGTCGGTCACGCAGATTCTCCACTGAACACATGATTTTTGACAAATGACTTTGACATTTATAGTGGGGGGACATGAAATACAAAACATTATACTTTTTCGTATTATATTATTTTTAGAAATAATTATAAAATATATTTAAAAAAAAAATAACTAAAAAATGATTTATTTTTTTTTGCTATTTATGAAACATTTTTATTTTATTCCCGCATGAAAGTGGTCATATAAGTTGTTATGATTTCAATCATTCCACTAGCGACCAGTGCACGTAGGCTTGTAGTTATCTGTCACATCCATGTTTTGTTTTCTGTTAATCACATTGAATGAAAATTTACACATTCCAATGTGTGCGTTGTGTTTAGATCGTGTGTCAGCTGTCAGTGATTGTCATTTTGGAAATTGAGACGACCTATTCGTTTTGAAAACTGTCGGATCTGAAGCTATATATGGTCGCCATTGACGAGCAAACAATGTGCGAGATAGCATTGGAACGTAGTCGCAAATAAAGTCAAATTAACCGATCAACAATTGAATAGATTTAATTGACACAAAACCGTGTGAAAGTATATTTTCTTTTAAATAAAATTATTTTAAAAACGAGAGAGAAAAATCAGTGGTAATTTCATCATGGGTGATAATAGTGGAAATGCGATTGCAAATCGAAAGCGTAAAGCAAAGGATTCAGCAAATCAACAACAATCGGGCCCAAAATTGTACAGCAATCGATGGATGTTGCGTGTGTATCAAGAGAAACCACCATTTCCGGAGGAATTATTTGATACAATGTTTACGAAAGAAAAAATTGAAACGCTTGTTGCCGCATTAAAATTGGCCACCGACAAAGAAGTTGAGGAGAGCAAACGTTTGCTGGAGAGTGACTACACATACTCATTAATGATTGCCAGTCATAAAGTACCACATGTTCCCGTTCATTTATCGAGAATGTGAGTGTTTTGTACTCTGAATGCGTGTCGATTTTATGATTTTATTAATGTTTTATTTAATTAGAAATTATAAGAATGAGCACTTAAGCGTTTGAAGATTGCCGCACATGGCATTGTCTTTATCATAACCTTACTTGTGTGTATACTCATGTATGTGTCTAATGCTGATATAGCATTTGGACTAGATTCGATTTCAATGTTAAAAACATAACGATCCAATTGCAAATGAGAACAAAAAATAAAACATTTTTTTTTTCTTCAAAACAACAATTTGGACGTTTTCGTGAGATGACGTTCAAATTAAAAATGGAAATACATATATACACACACACATATTATTTGTCATATTTATGCTATTATTTCATTGAAGACATGGAATGTGATTGATTTTTTTTTTCCATTCGAATTCCATTTTCATATCTAAATAGATTGCTAAAACATTCATTGCACAACGAAGATTCGGAAGTTGCATTGTTTGTTAAGGACTTGAAACGTGGTCGACGTCTAGACTTCGAGCCAACTATTCAACACTATGAAAATTTATTGCGCGAGAAAAATGTGACAAAATATCGCATCACCGTAATACCAGTGAATCAACTGTACAATGAGTATGCAACATTCGAGCTGAGGCGCAAATTATCATATTTGTATGATAAATTTTTGGTCGATTCGCCAATTGCTGCCCACGTAAATGGTTTTCTTGGCTCGAAAATGTTGAAAAAGGGACGTCTTGCGATTCCGGTGAATCTATCGAAAGAGAATTTATCGGATGAAATCGATAAGGCGATGCGTAAAGTGTTCTACAAGCATGTCAATCAAGGCATCACACAGAACATTCAGGTTGGCAAGCACACCATGCCAAACGATCAAATTGCCGACAATATCATCGATTTGCTTCGGCAATTTGGTGACATTCATCCTGGAGGCTACAAAAATGTTCACAAGCTATTCCTACGGCCACAAGCAAACGTATCTGTTGTTATTCCACTCTATGTTTCGGCCGGTAAGTGTTTTAAATACAAAATCACAACCAAAACAAAACAATTTTTGAAAGAAAAAAAAAAACTCCAACATAATTTAACAATAAAAAATATTCAAATTTGCTCTAAATTCAATCAATACAAACGCTTTCCATTCAATCGCGAATGCAATTCTCACTTAAACAATACGATAAGAACAAACAACATAACTAATCGAGCACATTGACCAAGAAATACTTTTAAAATGCCTTTGCATTTGAAGTGATTTCATTTCGATCCATACATTCGCTACCGTGAATGCGACCGATGAATAATTGAACAAATTCATTATTCATTGTATGTTGGTCATTTCAATGACTTGCAACAATTTCATCATATATCGGAACGAATGGGGACGATTAAGCACAAAATAGAGATTGCATTATTCTCAATTGAATTTAGTTAGAGTTTCATAGGATCAAAGGCGAACAAAGAAAAATAAAGAATCTTTTATAAATTCTAAATAAAGGCGATAATAGGTAAAAATCTAATTCTCATTTCTATTGATTCATTTGCAGATCAACCATTAGATAAGACACCAGTCGACCGTACCGCTGGTGAACAAGTTTTACAACAACATTCTAAAATGGCACATAGCCTTTTGGGCGATTTCAATATAAACGAGGCTGGTAAATTGGTGCAAAAACGTCGACCGGCTGCCTCAATTCTCGACGAAGAAATGTTACTCAGTGAAGATGAGGCTGACAACCAACCGCCGACCAAAAAACCATTGACGGAAACTGAAACAAAAGATGTAAAACCAGCAATAACAAACACACCTGAAAAGCCACAACAAATGGATAAACAAAATGCAAATAAACCATCAAAAGTACAACAGCACCAACAACAACAACAACAAGGCGGCGGAAATCTTTTAAAACAGCGAAAAAAGGTCATGAATCGATCACCATCAAATAATAGACTGAGTAATAATGGCCCAATGAACATGAATCAACTCAATCAACAAATGTCTGATTCGATGCCGCGTGATGGTAACGATTTATTTATGCGTAAACGCAATTTTATGGAGTCTGACATGGGTGGCAGCTTTGATCGGTCTGATCGTGTTTTCAATATGGCCGGTTCGAATTTTATGAACGATCGCAACATGAACAATTCAAATAATTTTGGTAATAATCGTGGTGACTTTGGCGATGAATTTTCAAGACGACCAGCTAAGAATGACGGTTTTAATCATTTTGGTGGCGGTAATCGGTCGGGCAATGCAAATGGTGGTGGTGGAGGCGGCGGTGGCCGAATGTTCAACCGCTATTAATTATTTTAATCTTTGATTCTTTTCAATCATACATACATTTTAAATCATCTTCTATTGACCGATTTATCAGAAATGAAAATAAAAATTAGTTTAGCATCAGACATATAGAATTTTATTAACACATCGAATTTGTGTTACATTGAAAGAATCTTAAATTGATACGAATAAATATTAAATTTACGGAAAAAGTTGATCGAGTTTTTGTTTACACAATTATTTTTTTTTTGCCTAAATTTGCACAGCACCTGATCAATCCTCGTATAAATCTTTTTCTTGGCTATTTTCATTCGTGGTTTGTCTACATTTGAACGATTTTGAAATTAGCTTACCTTTTACACCTGCCATTTTGATATTTGACCAGATTTCTTACTTGTTGTGTTAATTATCGTAAGTAGCAACTTAAAGGCATCATACGACTTGCGGCTTGAGACAAAAGGTCGGGAACCCATTTTCTTTTTGTTGCGTTCTTCAGTGTTTTTCTTTTTTGAAGGGCACTGAATCAGTTTTAATCCGGTATTTCAAATAAGAATAAATCATTACAGTATCCATTTTGATCTCATTTTTAACCTAATTCCATGGAGATTGTATTTAATTTGAGTGTAAAAAAAACTTGTCCTAATAAAAAAAATTCATTTTATTTTAATTTGATTCTCTTCCAAGAATCGATGCGCCGAGAACTCATCTAATTAAAATGTAAGTACGCCGATTGTCGTTGGAAAACTTGGCTCCCGCTTACATTTTCAAAATACAGTATTGCTTAACCCAAATTTGGCTGGCTTTGTTCTTTCATCGTTAAAAATTTGTTACAAGATGTGGCCGACTTTTTTGTTCATAACACTTATGCCATGAAATAATTACAAAAAAGATTATGGCATTTTTCACGGTCTTTTTCTAGCAACAACTGTAACACTGTACTAGTTTTTGTGTATTTTTATTCAAGTGAAGAGAAGACGTTGGAAAATTCAGCATGAAATAATAATAATAATAATAATAGAATGTCAATACAGTTGCTGTCTCCAATTTAAGAAGAATACATTTTCGTATAACTATGATTACATAAACAATTGTTTCCGTTTTCTTGCCGCTCTCAAATTATTTAGAACTTTATTTACACTCAATTTGTAACGTTGATGTCTCCATTTCAGTTTTTATTTTACGCTACAAAAACGATCCAAGTAATATTGATGAATCCGTTATTTGGCGTTAATTAATTTTTGTTTGTTAGCACAGATTTTGTCAGTTGTAATTTAAGAAAAAAGAAAACATATCGCGAAAATTTCATAAAAAAGTCGTCATATTCATTGAACTTTCTTTCATTTTCACAACATTTAATTTTAAAATGTACAAAAAATCGACAACTTTCTGAGAATGTTCAGAATTCATTGAACTGCACATGTTCTAATGTTTTCGTTCGTAAAAAACAGAATGTACATGGATCATTGGCCATGGCTAATAAAAGTCGTGTATGTTTAACATACTATGTTATTACATAAATATGCGTCAAATAGTTTACAGAAAAAATGGTGACTAAAATAACACATCATAACAAATGTGAAGCCAGCGTAAGCGTGTCTGATATATCGAGAAAAAAAAAATGTTTACCAAAGAAGAGAAAATCGATATGAGCACTTTTACTTTGGTATGTTGTTGAAAAAATCATGTTTATTATGTGTGCTTTTTTCTAGCCTTCTCGAGTTTCGATGAAATGATCGAATATTTCAATGGCGTAATTAAAATGGGCTTGAATGCTGTGAAACGGTTTTTGTTTTATCGAATACGTCCATTGATGCACGAAATATCCAATTGTCCAGAAAAATGTAATTTTCGTGTTATTGGAACAGTGTTTTGATTTGGATTTTTTTAAATTGAAAAAAAAAAAATAGACAAACAAAAATGCTTTTGTATTATTCAATAAGTTACACAATGTCATTGTGACAATGATATAAATTCGAATCCGTTTCGATACGTTCTACATTGCGAAATTGATTTAATTAAATTATTTGCAAATTGTCGGAAGAGAATGAGAAAGAAAACGTAACAAAATAACGAAAAACAAAACGAAGGTGTTGATGATGATGATAAGGTACCGATGTGCGTAAAACATGGCACGCACCTTACGCTCGGAAAATCGAAAAAGAGAGAAAGAAAGAAAATATATCGTTTTTCAGATGAATTTGAGATGATGGTAGGTTCTATTGATTGACGACGTATCGATCATTGAATTGAAAATCAACCATCTATAAAAGCCGTTGGACCGCGTCCATTGGAGTTATTTGTTCGTTGATCGTCAACAAGAATCGATGTGTAAAATTCAAGAACCATTTTTCAGTTATAAAATGAATTTTAATTTGAATGCCCACAAGTGATTCGAAAAGTGCGTCATTTATTCAGTTAGCAAGGCAAAAATTCGTATTGCTTTTTTTTAGTTTTATTTAAATTGTCTGATGTGCAAAAATGTCAAGTGAATTTAAAATGGAGAAACACATACTGAAATTTGTGCTGAGCGCAATTGTTTCGACAAGTTTAATTGTTAGTGCGCATGTTTTTAAGGATTATAAAAATAAAGAATTAGTGTTAACATCAGTGTATGATGCAATGAAAAGTAATTTACAACAAGATTTACAAAATACATTAAATCAAGATGAAATTTTGCATGATTCACGCAACAAAAGGAATACAAATACCAATGAAAAAATGGAATATTACGATCAAACACCCAGCGAATCGGCCAATGAGTAAGTTAGACACCATAAATTTGATTTAATACGAAATCGGCGTGTATTTATGGTTTTATTTGTTTGTTTGTTTGTTTTTTTTATCAGATGGGCCATCATAAATTCACCCGACAGCAATGATTTAGTTTGTACACGACGTGATCATTCATCAACAAAAATAACCGTCAGTGATCATCATACAGGCTTAACATTAGCATTAATAGTCAAATATGGTTTAATTCTTTTGGCTGCACTATTTTTGCCGGTGATTCTATTCAAAGTGTTTGTGTTACCAATTAAAATTCTCTTGGGATTGAAAGCAATATCGCTGCTGAATAGTTTATTGTTGGGATCATTGTTGCTTAAATATAAATTCTCAAAACCGCTCTATGCGGCCGGATTTCCGATTGCTGGTACTATTCCTGGTTCAACTACAGCCGCTTCATCATCAGCATCGTCATCGTCATCTTCAGCTGCTGGCAATAGTCTTGATCTAAGGTAACATTCAATTAGGAAATACTCTTTTTCTTGTCTCAAATAAATTCCAAAATTGAAAAAAAAAAAAAAAAAAAAAAAAACATTTTTACGGAAAAATAAAATTCGATTGAGATATTACTATAATGAGTTGATACAATGAAAAAGGCTAACTCACGTTTTATTTCCAATCATTTGTTTTTAGTGATGAAGGCGATTATGTTGATGTGGTTAGACCCGGCGAAGACCTAAATCGAATCCTTTCGTATGTTAAAAAGCGAAATAAAAACTGGTGAATGAGTTTGAAAGTATACTAAAGTGCTGACAATCATCTGTCATTAAGGCTAATCAATTGGATTTTTGATATTTTCTTGTTAAACTGTTTCAATGTTTGAGCTTGTATCGTGAGCATGCTTTTTATCTATTTCCATCTCTATTTGAAGAAGAAAAAGTGTGCAAACAGTATTTCAACGCTTCTGTGTGGAAAATTCATAATACGATCTCAGTAAAGAGTGCACGGTAATCAAAAAATTACCGCTACGCATATACATTTCGGCACGGTTTTACTGTCCAGCGATTTTTTATTTTCATTCTATCTCTGTCCCTCTCTTACCTCATATTTAAAAAAAAATCGAGTGTTATTGAAACATTTAATAAGTGATATACCGTTAGTAGAGAACAGCAAAAAAAAGTACGACAAAAATGATGTGGTGAAATAAAAATCGATCCAATATTGAAGCAAATTAATCAAGTGAAAAGCATCGCGAGAGAAAAGTGTGAAATTGCGAAGAAAAAGAATAAGAGTTATAATCGATGATGAAAAAACAACTCTGCGTTATAATACAATAATAAACGACGAATTCAAAACAGTTGAAAGTATTTTTGTTTACCTTTTGTGCAATTGACGAATAAGAAAAATTTATATACACATACTCTAAGTCAAGACAATATTAGAAAAATGCAATCCGCTTTGTCTGAAGAAAGACTCGTCTTTATTGGATTATATGTAATATTGAAGAAGCAACTTGTAACCATTCGAAAACGAAAGGTGAAAAACAAAATTAAACATTCGAATTTTATGGTTTTAAGTGATGTTCTTTGTAAAAGTGATTGTTTAATCTGATTATTGAAATAAAATACATTTTACGTTACCACTCTAGCCATGTGAATCGCTGCATAAATCGATTTAATCTCATTTTTTTGAATTCATTTTAACATGAAATCCGAGCTCGAAAAAGCGAGTTTTTTTTATCGAAACGATAAGCGATATCAAATGGCATGAGCATCCATTTCCTCCTGTATTAATTAAATGACTGACATTTGTTAAATATAACAGTGGATACCAGGCAAAATTCAATATACAATTATACATAAGTATATATGCATATTCGTTTACATGCTAAAAGCATTTATTTTAAAATTAGTTTTTATAACACCCGCAACCAATACATAATATCCATTTTTCATGTGCAATTCAGGTGCATTTTTCTCTCTCTCACATTTCATTCTCGCGCGCATATTAATGTCATTTGAAAATGTTATGTGTGTCGCCTGATTTTCGCCCTAAATTGAATTTTATCGTACCGATTTTAAATTAGTTTATAAGCCAATGAACCATTCACATACATCAAACGTTCTGGAAATTCAAAAAACACACATCCAAGCTATAAAGATTAAAGAATTGTTGATGCTTCATGAAAAATGTGTAGTTTTTTAGTATTTTTTTTTTCATAGAAAAATGGTAAATTATTTTGTTTTTAAACTAGAATATTTTTAAGTTAAAGAAATAAAACTACAATTCAAACAAGACACAAATTGTATACGAGCATATGATCATTGTAATAAAAATGTTTTAATTTATTCGAATGCTGTTTTAATGGATAATTATTTCTTCAATTTTTGATGCATAATATATATTTGGGTGAGGCGCAAAAAGGAGAATGTATTATCATTAGTCACATATCAAGTCTCTGGCTCGTGCTTACTAATTAGTTGCCGATAACAACGACTGATGTTCGTCCGCAGCTGATAAACGCGTGTTTTCGAAATGTGTCAATTGATTGAAAGATCCATTTATTTATTTATTGATAAGATTCGTTATTCAACATTCAATAAAGTTGAACTGTAATGCAATGAATATTACTTCAAATTTGAAACTATATCTGTTCGTTCAAAGGATAATCGTACCAATTTTGATGGGATTAAAAAAAAAAATATACCCTTTTTTTAATCTCAGTGAAATATTTAATTGCCCATGTCACACGAATGCACGCCAAAATGGATGAAATGACTGTACATTAAATAAACATTGCATTTGAATAAATGTATCGATAGCGATTCGGTTGAATAAAAATGGCACAGTGATAGTGATTTGACCACTTTTGGAATACAAACACATCAACAATGGAAGGACATTGTTTGTAAACAATAATTCATATGGTCGAGAAAATTCAAGTTCATGTTCAATATTTTGTTACGTAACGTATATTTAAAAGAACTTAAATGATTTCCATCGAATGAAGAATTTTTCAATTCGTTTCAGTAGTAGTTTTCTCACATAAAACGGTCATATTTTATTCAACATTGAACAATCGATAAACATGCTCTTGTATATGACACACATAAAATGCGAAACGAATAAATAAATTTACATTCAATTTTAAAACAGTTTTTATTCGAAAAAATACATCGGAAATATCGATTTCGATTTTCTAATTGAAATTGAAATGATCGATTCGAACATGATTTCGTTGGGTGAGAGATTTATTTTAACGGAATATTTTCAGTTTATTGTCAAAATTCAGAGATCATCGAAAATCCAAAGTCAAAGTTGAAAAATGCATAAAAGTAAGTAGAAAAAAAAGACAGAAAAAACTGTTTTCAAGTAGCAGTGACATCTATTCAAAGTAAATAGAAACCGATAAAATGTTCGCATAATTTTTATAGGTGAGTGATTGTTGTTGAAACGATAGAAAATCAACATACAATCAAGGTATATTGTATTTAGGGATCTAATTGGCACTCAGAGTACAACATCCAGAGTTCGTTAGAATACTTAAACACGTACAGACACGGCAAAACATGTGCAAAACAAAGCACACAAATGATTCTAACTAATCGACTTCAAAGTCGAAGGTAGCACACACGAATGTATTAGATTGAAGTGAATGAATGTATTCGTGTGTGTACATAATGAGCCGACAAACAAATGCAATAATCGTATTGCATACACAATGCAAGCAACATTTCATTCTATCTCATTCGGTTTCTCACCAAAGATGACATATTCATATGGGTAGAATACGACATAGTGGTGATTCTAAAGGCAAAAACTATAATAATTTATATCCAACGTAATATATGAAGCGAATATGTATTGGTATAATATCCTTCTCCATCTGTTTCTCAAATAATCACGGCAACAAATGGTCTAAGATACATAAAAGATAAACAGAAAACGGCGACACAGCGCAATTGAAACAACAGCACACACACACACGGAATAGACGAACAAGAATAAGCAAGAAGAAGATAGATATATCGAATAAAGAGAAACAGTCAACATATATAACGTTGACTATATGACTATATGCGGTCGAAATAAATGTTCAAGTATAATTATTGCACGACGATTTCATGTAGAGAATAAGTGTGCGTGCCTCTGTCTATTCATGCCAACAGCACAACACACAAAAAAGTCTTGCTTGTTAGATCTCTCGTTCTCTCTCTCTCTTTCTCCCTCTTCTTACTCTTTCCTGTTGATTTGTTGTTGTTATTGAATGCTTTATTGCCACTGCTTTGTATCCGAATATACGCGTAATGTTCATCGCATCGTTGTCCATGTATGATCAACAGTGTGCGATGTGAGTGAGTTAGTATTGCTTGAGCGTTTCAGTGTATATGCTTCGGAGTTTTTCATTTATTTATAATATTTTCTTTTTTACATTCCACATCCAACCAGTTGTTTTTAAGTTATCTGTTGAAATAGTGTGTTACGCCTTCGCAGCTTAAAACATAACTGAACAACTGAATACTTTTACGTTTCGACGGTGTGTTTTTATATATTCTATAAACAAGATTACGTTGTTACTTCTCAGATTCTTTTTTGTTGTTGTTTGTTGTTGTTGCTAAAAAGGTAGAATGAAAATGTATCAATATATAAAGTAACAATCCAAAAATAACACACAATTGACGAATATTCATAACAAAAATTGCAACGCACAAGCAACGATCTCTTTTCGGCTGGTCAGAAGAAGAATAAGACAAAAAGAATACAATCAAAAAATTATATTGCAATCAAACAATTTAATGGTGCAAGTGAAGAGAACTTGTAAAATTTTGTGCAATTTTTTTCTCTTCTTGTTGTCGTTTCAAATTTTGAATCAATTCAAATCAAATTATATATCAAAATACATGGACAAAACGTGCGATATATGTGTGAGTGTCAGTGTATAGTTGGTTGTGTTTGTTTTATGAAAACGATCGGTAACAAAAATCAATTGAACGAAATTAATAAATTTCAAAGAATTATTGTCAATTTTTTTTTATGCATACATAATATCATGACATACATTGTTGATTGAGATCAAAAGAATTTGTGTTACTGTCAATAATCAATTGTTTGCGTATACGTAATAAATTACATTGAATTCTTATGGTAAGTTGATAAAAGTCATCATTTTAATAATAGCTGAAACGAAACATGAAAAATCGAATACATCCAAACATATCTCAAGTGGTCAATTCTACGTATTTCAAACAGCAATAAAAAAAAACAGTCCAATTCGGCATCTGTATTGAGAATTTCAATTTTAATGCGCACAACTGAACATTTGAAAAAAAAAAATCGTTTTCGTTTCGTCTAATATTGTTGTTGTTGTTGTCATGAATAATCGCTAGATGTTAAACAGATCAACAAATATTTCGTACGAAATTTCATGCGATAATGCTCATTTATCTGTCAGTTTTTTTTTTGCGTTTCGTATTGTCATTTCGACAGAATGTGCTGGAAGTGTTGATAATTTTGTGTGTTGTCTAAAAATATGGTATGCGCAATGGATCGTTCAAATATTGCATGTTACAAATGAAATGCGGTAATTTCCAATGTGATTCATCTATTGTATCAAATCAGATAGATAAGATATGGAAAAAGTTGTTAAATGAAAGTTTCTTCAAATACGATAAAAGAGGTTAATTCATTTTAATCAGCCAAACGAAAGACACACATAAAATGAAGCCCAACAAAGGAGAGTGTGTGTCTATATGTACTAAATAAAATATGAAATCGCGACAGAAATAATGAAAGAATGAGTTTTGTTGCAACGGCACCAGCAGAAATCGCAACAACAACAATTGTCCAGCGAAAGCACAACTTTGAAGAACGTGTAGACGTAATCAAAAAGAAAAGAAAAACAACTATAAATATCGATAAAAAAAGAGAAGTTTTGAACGATGGACAGTATATATGTTGTGTTCAAAAACTCACACTATTACAGTAGCGTGTCGTTTGCTTTGCGTGTTATTTAGAAGAGACACTGTGAATGAGAAAACAAAGAACACCACATAACAAATCGCATAAATCTAGTTGTTTTCAAAGTTGAATGTTCCATACGCTGTTTCGATGTTGGACCTTTTGTTTGTTCAATTGTCAATTTCAACTTTGGTTCATACGGGCCATCTTACATCCATGCCATTTCATATAAATTCGTATTGTTGTTAATTCAAATTTCACGCCATCACACAAATAATCAACGCCAAATGTCCAAGCTAATGCATGTATATGGGTATGTGTGTTTGTGTGTGTGTGGATCGTTGTTGTATTGTCCATCGCGCATTGATCAGCACAATCTTCAAAGTGTTCGATAACGACAACAACGATGGTAGAAACGATAACGACACACTCTTGTGATCATTGCACTCGAAGCGGATGAAGCGAACATATTTAGTAGAACCATGAATGCAATTTGAAACAACGAGACTCTGCGACATCTCCAAAACCGGCATTAAGTTGCATTCATAATAAATTTTTTGTTGAATTGACATTCTTTCGATTAAACGAAATATGCAATTGTATATAATTAGTTTTGGATTTGATATTTGCAACTGATATATTTTCAATGACACATAGAGCGCACAATATCACTGAATATTTTATGAAATGTGTTTATTTTGCAATAGGATATTTTTTTATTTATACAAAACATGTTTATTTTCTTTTTTTTCAAATTCAAAGAATTTAATGGTCCGAAAAAGCCAAATCAATCTCAATCTTTGTCACAATCAGTATATTTGTGTTGATCTGCACAGAACTATATAGAAATTCACAAAAAATATTGTATAATACCAGTTATTTCTTGTATTGGCCGAATATAATCAAATCGCAATATGCGTCATTTATTTGCATTTATTTGTCTTCAAATTGAAGGCCCCAAACCGATGGTATCAACGACAAACGTATAAAGATATCAACCAATTCTGCTTTGTAATACCTTTTTTTGGGTGTGTGTAAACAATAACAAATTACAATAAACGGTTTATTACATTTTGAGTAATCATATTTCGACAGAAGTATGATACAAAAGTATAATTACCCGCAGTGTTTATATGTCAATATATACTTACAGTCGGTATGGATAAATAAAAATGCCAGTTGATTCGACTAATCTCAATTAGGAGCGAAACAGTCTGAGCACAAATGATGTTTGTTGTTGGTTTTTATCTTGACAAATATGTTTCGAGCAATTTCATTTCAAATTAAAATAACTTCGAACGATCTTTGGGATACAAATTAACTTCAATTAGAACAAAGAATCTGATTTGATCGTGTCAGCATACACGGTGAAATGAGCAATGTATTGGTGCTATTTAGCGAAGGCTTTAGAATAGCAATAACAAAGTCTAGTTCAACATTGTTTTTCACTGATGACTACGACGGCGACGACGACGACGACGACGAGTACATACTGAAGTGAGAGTGTACTCGTCGCTGTCAATGCCTATACGAGACATAAGTAAGAAATTTCATTGCATATATGGATAAAATTTGCGTGTATAGACAACAACTGTTTTGTGTCTTTCGCATTTCAACGTTGAATAAACAGGAAGATATGAATGCAATGAATAAGCTAAACTATAGGAAGTTATGACAGTGATCATACAATGAGCAAAATTGTCGCCATTCAGATCATTATAGCTCGATTTATATGACGAAAAAGAGTGATTCATTCGAAAGAGTTGAGTACATTAAAAGAGAAAAAACAGAACTGTTGATAAAAGAGATCAACAATTTAATGCAACGGCCATTGTTCCAGCATCACTTTATACGCAATATCAATGTTTTGCTTCGTCATCGACGGTCTTTTTTCACATTCGAACGATAAAATATGGTGATAAATTAAGTTCACCAAAACAAAAATTGTGTGGCAAAAGGGAAGAGGCACAATGTATGCGTATCGATGCGGTAAATTATTAGATTTAAACAACAAACAACAAAACTGAAATAGATTATTAACCGAAATGACCTTGAGCTCTGAAATTCAACACAATCCCCCCCAAAAAAAAAATTGCTTATGGTTAAATTGTTTTGTACACACAAAAATCCCACAGGATGAATTATGTATTTCGTATTTCAATTTTGTGTGCATTCAAAAATACACTTGTTATTAACAAGTTGTTAATTATTTGTGCACGAGCTAAATAAAGAAAATGACACTGACTCAACCACGTTTACCTTATTCTACAAATAAAACAACAACAATTATAGTGAATACAGCGAAGAACAGAACAGAATTGATAACAATTTGTGACGTTCAGTGGCATGCCGTCATGATTATGAATTGCATGGTGAATTGAAATTCAATCTCACCTCACCAAAATAATGTGTACAATTTATTAACGATAGGTTATTATTTGCTTTACATTGCTTTTGTTCTTTCGTGATGCTTTTGTAACTCAACCGAATCATGTGCATGGACCAAATTAGGGAGTATGCAACTCAAACGAATAACACACATTTATTTTAAAGAATACACAATGAATATTCATTTGGGTATTTAATTTACATTTATCAGCTGATTCATTCAAACGTCGATTCTAGGAGGTAGACCGTGTCTACTAGACAATGCCTAAACATTCTCCGAATTCTCGAAAAAAGTATTTTCGCGAAATAATTTCGGTATTCGATTTCACATCACTTCTTATCGAATTATATGTCACTGCGGAAGTGTGGACACTTTTCTTGTCTTTTTTTCCAAGATATTACATGTGTTCATGTGCAGCACTTAAAATGTTATATGGATTAGGCGGGCACTCATCCATAGAAATTTCAAATTCTGACATTGAAATTCCAATGAAAAAAAAAAAAAACAGAGTGAAACGAAATCCGACAGCCCCATTCTAGAGATCAATTCGACTTTTCATCAAACCGGTTTAACATTCCACATGAAAATCGGGTTCGGAGCGATTCTTTATGTATTCTCAGTGTATCCCCTAACGTTGGTTCAATGCATCGCCTTAAAATTTGTTGATAAGTGGATGGGCAGCAAGCACGTGCTGCTAATTCCTAATATCAAAAACACCAAATTCTCGGAAAAGACAGATCGCAGATTGTAAGCTTGAGGTCTGTATACAATTCATAAAATAAATAAAAATAGAAAAGCAATTGTTCAAAATGTACAAATATATAGAATTCCGACGAAAATTGGGCAGATCCCATCGCCATGAGTTATTATTTTTATTTAAATATAAAAATCTTATCATGAATGACAATACACTGATAGAATTGTGTTGTAACGAAAGTAAATTCAATATGCAATCATTTATTTTAATGGGTGAGGTTTAAAGTGAGCTGCAATCCCGATGAAAATAAAAGAGCCACATGAAATTTTTTTCTCTATGGAGTTGTTACAACAACAAATCTGTGTATTTGTTAATTATATTTTTGTTGAATGGCAAATTCCCATGTAAGAAGATACATACGAATAATGTTTGGGATGTCACGTTCAGTTTCAAACCGAAACGAATCGACTGTTGAAATCGCCATAACAAAAACTCAGATATTAGTGGACATAAAATATCGATTGGCATATTGTCATTCATATCGATAAATTGGTTGCATTTGGGTCGGATATCTAAACTAGGACATTATTAGTGAAATGTGATTATATTTGTACACGGATTTTTGTTGTTGTTGCTCTTGGTGTGGCGCGTGCTCGTCGGTATTGGTGCCATGTTGATGATTCCAATGAACTATTAGCGTTAACGGGAAAAATGGAGTAAATTGCTGTTACCTGCAAAATGATCCAAGTGCATATTTTTGCATTTCAAGCATTTTAAAAATGGTATAAAATAGCTTCAATGTTCAACGATTGACGAGTGTTCACATGCAAACTGTCTTATTTTCACTTGATTTTTGTAATCTCGAACATTTTTTGCGCTCAATATGAACCATGGTTCATGACGCATCCACAATAATATTCGGATGAACAAAAAAACGCTTTTAGGCAACACCGAATTATGTTTTTCTTCAGTTTCTTTCGACAGTATCTTTTCATGATACGCTAGATGTTTGTGATATTTATGTTTTTTTTCCCCAGTTTTGAATCCCACAGAATAAAATTAAGAAAATTGCAGTTGAATCATGTTACAAATGCCATTAATTTGAAATAAAGAGACCGAGTCGCAGTTATTTTGCCGTACATGAACAAATTGTGGCGCGTCAAAGTTTATTTAAACTCTAACTTAACCACGTTTAAACGTAATTGGGTTAATTCTTTTGTGCTTTCGCCTGGTTTATTCGACGCCTCAATTCGAATGCTTCAATAGAAAACAAACAAACAAATAGTGACACATTCTATAGAAAACATTTGTTTTTGTCACGATTTGCATAAAAAACACTGACTTTCCTTTCGACAGATGTGTGTCAATCACTTTGCTGTATAGAAGCTGAAAGAAAGATTTTTGGAGCCATCGAATGTTTATTTTTGAACGGTGCTACCTATATTGTCAACTCTACGTTATTTGATTTTAAAATCTAATTTTTGCGGTATCTAGTTGACGCCAGCCAACTTTTTAAGATGTGCGTATACTTGGCCGCTTTGGCGCAGAGGCGATTTTTTTTGCTCAAATTTTGAATGCTTTTTATTTTTATGCATATATAACATATGTGGTGTCCACGCTCAGTTTTGCTTATCCACGACCAAATGACGAATAATTGAAAATTATCTCATTTCCAAGAAACTATTAACAAATCAAGAGCCACAGGCACACGCTATGCGTTATCGGCTTCCTCCCAAACACATTGGTGGCACGTTATATGTGACTCACACGACTCGCAATAATAATACGAAGACATTTCATTCAAAACATATGGTCATTTTTTAGTTTTTATCTCGTGTGTCTTTTCTCTTTTTTTTCCATTTTATTAATAATCGTCTATTTAGCAAACCAAAACGATAACCTTTTCAAGATTTCGATCATTTTTTTATATATATATTTTACGATGAATCTATCAAAGTACATTTCATTATGGACTATTTAATTCTTAATGAATTTTGGTTGTTTCTTTGTCTGTCAATAAACACATCGTATATTCAAACATTATTCAAGGCATTCACACAATAAAACATCTGTTGAACTTTGTACCAAATTTACTACATGTTTAACAGTTCAACATTTAATTACATTTATTTCGATTTGTCGGTAGAATTTTCATTTTCTTCAAATGTCCAATGCCATAAATTCTTTTTAAATAAAATTTAAAAAAAAAGGTATAATTTGAACATTCCTCGGACCAGGTTTTAAAAGTATTTTGAACTCTGTGTGAAGGTACTAAAATCCGATCAAAGATCTATCGCCCTCTTGATCTATCGTCGCCTCTTTTCGTCGATGGATTTGAAAGAAAGAATTTCTCGTTCCCTTTTTTTAAATCTTTCTTTTGATAAATCTCCAGTTGTAAGTCTGACGCTGCATTGTATTTATACTTCAGTTGATTGCTTTAAATAATTTCCTCAAGAGATGACTTATATTTGTTAACAATAAATTTGGTTATAAAAATAAACCGAAAATCGGTTTTGGTTTGCGCTTAGCTTGATGTCCATAAATTCATAGTGTAATAAATGAAAAAATGAGTGAATGAGTTTTGATTTGAAATTTGTCAACAGATTTTATGGTGAGTGTAATAAAAAAAAGCGATGAGGGGACGCAATAGCGACAACAATTTTTTATTTTGTTTACATTTTGGAGATGTGAAACGGAACAAAATCGTTTATATTTAAATGATGTTGAGCAGCATTCAAATGGATCAAAATAGTTCAGGCGATGAGCAACAAAGAACACAATTTACTGTGTGACATTTTATATACGACTGGTGCTACTGAACTCTAAAGGAATATAATACACATATATTTCGTTGGAGTCATTAAGTGTAATTGCCTGCATTTTGGAATGCATGTAATATATGTATAAGCGACAGGCATTTCAATCTCGCATAAAGTTGCCGCACCGCCGATTATGCTTTAATATATTCATTCTTTCATCACATATTGCTATGGCACTTTTTTTGTTATTTCAATTCATCGCATTGTTTATTTACATCCAAACATAAACTAAGCTTGCAATCACTTTTGATTTCATGCTGGTACAAAACGCAATGAGTTAATTTTGTCGTATGTTTCATATTGCGTTAGTAAGTTGAAAAGCTCAATTGATAAAGTGTTCTCAATGTGAATTATATAAATGTGCGGATTTATGCCATTTTTCTATAAGTTCATATACATGAGATGCGATTTGATTTTTTTTTGTGATAAACATAATATTTGGAATCATTTTATAATTTTCAACATAAATAATTTTTCGATGAGAAACATTGATCGATTCATTTTTTATTTTGATTTGAAATCCAAAATTGACAACCCTGAAGTGAAATCATTTAAGCTTAAATATGAGAACCCTGCCCTGAATCGACTATTAAAACCAAACAAAACGCTATCAAATTAAACAAATGAAGTGCGTGCCTTGTTGAAAATTGACCAATCGCCATAACATTTCAATGTATAATCCAATAATAATTACATTCAAACCGATTTTTATCAACAAAACTAAAATTCATGATTATTGTTATATTTCATTTTATATTACAGATAAAACCAAGATAGTTCATTCCATTTCTCTGTGCATAGCGTGAGTAGTGCATCGATGGAGCAAATGGATTATTAAACCAAATTGAATATTTATCAATAATGTCATTGAAAAATAATTTATTTTACTCGATAGCTTGTTACAACGAACTAATGAAAACATGAACTGATCACTGCTGACAAACCGAACGAGATAAATGTTATTACAGTTTAGTGTTTATGTGTTTCAACAAACAATTGTTTTTTTATCTTTATCACTATTTTTAAAATCTTTTGTTTTGAAATCATTTTTATTTGCACCACACACACACACATAAAGTGACACATCAATGAAGTGCATTAAATAATTTGATCGAAAATACTTAGTGCTTTATTTTAAAAATATCATAATTTAGCAAAAGTGGATCGTTGATTATTTCTTTGTGCGATAAGTGTATACTTAAGTAAATGTTAACCAATTTCCAGTTATACATTGTTAATCGGTCGGTTTAGTGTAGTGTTGACATTTCTATCAAAATGCAAATATTTGTGAAGGTGACGATTTTTTATTTATTCTTTGGATTCTTGTTAACTGCATATCATCAAGTAACCAGTGAAAATGTAGATGATCTCGAACCAATTTTATTAACTGGACCAAATGTTTGCAAACGCATCGAAGAGTAAGTGAAATGAATGTCAATAGGCAGAACCGTTTCTTCAAATTATTTTTGCTTTAAAATGATATTGAAAAAAAAATAAAATGATCTGTTTTGAATTTGATAGGTTTCCTGTTGAAGTTGTAGTCACAGAAAAGCAACCATATCAAGAGCGAGTAAATAATTGGTGTCTTGCCGTTCCGCCAAGATGTTCAGGCTATAAAATAAAATTTAAGACAGTTAACAAGACCGTAACTCTAAAAAAGGAACGAGTCATAGCGGAATGTTGTGGTAATTGTCATATATGCGGTGTTTATGATTACGATTTGCTTTGAGTTTCTAAAACGTTTTCATTCGAGGCTAAAAATCACTACTTTTCTTGCATTGTTCTGTTTTTGCAAATATATAGATGGATATGCCAAAAATGAAGCTGGAGACGCATGTAAACCAGTTTGTACGGATTGTAAACAAGGCATTTGTGCTGGTCCAAACAAATGTAAATGCAATCCAGGCTTTTTTGGACCCAATTGTGATATAAGTGAGTTTTGGTTTTTTTGTTTATTCGAAACTTGGAAAATGGTATAAATATATATATATTTTTGAAACGGTAGGTTGCCCGACAGGACAGTGGGGTCGAAATTGTACGCAAGCATGCAATTGCGAACATGATAGCATATGCGATCAATTCAATGGCCAATGCAAATGTACGAAGGGCTATCGGGGTGATCGTTGCGAATTGGAGTGTGAAAGTGATCGATATGGTTTGAATTGTTCGGAACCATGTAACTGTAAAAATAATGGAAAATGTCATCACATATCGGGTGAATGTACGTGTGCGCCAGGTTTTACTGGTCCATTATGTGGTGAACTTTGTCCAAACGGTACGCATGGCGAAGATTGTAAATCAGAGTGCAAATGCCAAAACGATGGTTCGTGCAATCCACAAACCGGTCAATGTGAATGTCCACCCGGTTGGACCGGTGAGGTTTGCGCAAATCGATGTCCGGCAGGATTTTACGGTGAGTTAATAAAATCGATTGTTATCAACCTTTTAAACGGCAAATTATTCAAATTCGATATTAAATTATTCGATCATATTTGAATAGGGAAAAATTGTGAGCAACAGTGTGAATGCTATAACAATGCTCGTTGTCAACATATTAGCGGTGAATGTGAATGTGCTCCTGGATATATTGGAACAAAATGCTTTGAAACTTGTCCTAGTCAAAAATATGGATTGAATTGCGCAATAGAGTGCAAATGTATGTGTTAACATTCATTAAAATATATTTATTTCTATTTTCAAATATAGCAGCAACACATACTCTCATATACAAACATTTTCAAATAAAATAAAACAAAAAATTCGTTTTTGCGTCATTGCAATATTGCGAACAGGTAAAAACGGTGCACAATGCAATCCAGCGGATGGAAGTTGTTCATGTTCAAAGGGTTGGAAAGGGATTTACTGTGAAGAGCGCGTTTGTGCAGATCATATGTATGGTGAAAATTGTGAATTGACCTGTGAATGTGACAAAAACACCACGAAAACTTGTCATCCATATACGGGTAAATGCGATTGCAATGCAGGATGGAGTAGTAATTTATGTAATCGACCATGTCCATTCCTTACTTGGGGCGAAAATTGCGCAAAAGAATGCAATTGCAATGGCGCTCAATGCAATCCGATAACTGGAGAATGTGTTTGCGCTCCCGGCTATCAAGGTATATTCGAAATTTTCACTGAATCTATTTTTTTCCTTCATTTTCTTCTACGAAGTGATTTCAATTTTACATTTTTTTTTGTCCCTTGTGTATTTTCGATATTAGGAAAAACCTGTGAAAAAGAATGTGATGAAGGTTTCTATGGTGATTGTACACAAAAATGTAATTGTACCAATGGTAAATGTAGCCCAGAGACTGGTCAATGTTTCTGTAACGTTGGATGGAAAGGTTAGTGTCTCAATTATTTATTCAATGAATAATATTAATAGAAAAAAAAATTGCAATTGTTCGCTCTATTCCTTCGGTTGTATCCATTTGTATTTTTTTTATTTTTGGCACAAACTGAAATGCGAACCGTGCAAACATAAATGCGAAAATAAAACTGTGTGTTTTGCCATACTTTCAGGTCATCATTGCGATAGACCATGTGATGAAGGAAAATTTGGAAAAGACTGTAAAGAGCAATGTAAATGCCAAAATTCTGGCGCTTGCAATGCAATAAGTGGCCAATGCACATGCAGTGCGGGATGGACGGGTGAACTTTGTGAAGAAAAGTGCAGAAATGGAACATTTGGTTTTAATTGTAGTCAAGAATGTGATTGTAATTTCAACAATTCGATAGCATGTGATGCCGTTGATGGTCGATGCTACTGCAAAAGTCCATGGACCGGTTAGTTAATCAAGTTTATTTTGTTTTGCTTTCGAATGTCTAACATAATTTCTTTTAAATTGTCTAATCAATCAAACAATCTAATCTAACTGACAAAGTAGAAGGGAACGACACTGATGTGGAAGGTAAGCCTTCAAAGTTCGACAATCAGTGCACCGTGTCCTCTAGAGTTCTTTTTATTCACATAACATGTTCATGGCTTAACTCATTTGTGCACACACACACACACAAACGTTCACACACATTTTTAAACAATCATTCATCCAATACTAAATTTGACCATTCATAAAACCAAACTAATTTAAAGCATAATTTTATTAATATTATGCAGAAGCTGTTGTGTTTATTTGCTGGTTAAATGCGGAACCGATAAAATGTGGTTGTCGATTTGACATAAAATTTAACCATTTTTGACTTTATTGCAGGTGTTAATTGCGAAACAAAGTGCCCACCTGGACTGTACGGTGATAATTGCGAAAATGAGTGTCGATGCTATAATAATTCATCGTGTGAGGCACAAACCGGAAAATGTGTTTGCAACAAAGGATGGCGAGGCGAAGACTGTTCAGAACCATGTCAAGCAGGCTATTATGGTTTAGGTAATAACTAACATACAAATGACATGAGTATTTTATTTGAACGAAAAATGAAACGGATTCATTTTTTCGTCTCTTTGGTTTGTAAATGTAATCGGTTTCGTGTGTAATCTTTCATTTGGTTCTCAGGTTGTAAAGAAAAGTGTCCGGATGTAGTGAACGGTAATAAGACGTGCGATCACGTGACCGGTGAATATGTTTGTACACCGGGATATATAGGTCTAACGTGCGAGCATCCATGTCCAGATGGAACTTACGGTCCACGTTGTTTGCTGAAATGTATGTGTGAAAATGGTGCCGAGTGTCATCATATTACCGGTCAATGTCAATGTGCTCCAGGTTGGACTGGCACATCGTGTAACGTACCATGCCCGGATGGGTTAGTGAATATGATAATAGTATGATATTGCTTGTTATTTTGTCATTTTAATCATTCAATTTTCGTTTACATTTCGATAGGTATTTCGGTCAAAATTGTAATCAAATTTGTAAATGCAAAAATTTTGCAAGATGCCGAAAAAATGACGGATACTGTATTTGTAATGCTGGATGGATGGGAGCTCATTGCGAAGATGTTTGTCCAGAAGGTTTGTTTTCGTGCAAATTCAAATTTGTTGTCATGATTTAAAAGAAATGTTACATGCTTTCTTCGGTTAGGTTTCTATGGAAAGCACTGTATGGAATTCTGTTCATGTCCATCGCCACAATTCATTTGTCATGCAGCCCATGGATGCGTATGCCGTGTTGGATTCATGGGAACGGATTGTTTAACACCAAAATCACAATTTTCAGAACTGCAAACTGGTAATTAAATGCATTTCAATTGGTTTTTTTTTTATTTATCTATTCCCAGAATAACGTATAAATGTTTATATTATTCAGGTCAAAGTAATGCCAGTATAGTATGGGGTATTATTGTTGCTTTATCATTGGTTGGCGTGATTATTTTCATTTCATTGTATTTCCGTCGACGGGTTCGAAACTTAAAAACGGAAATCGCACATGTTCAGTATATTGCTGATCCGCCTTCACAGCCGGATCGACATCATTTCGACAATCCAGTTTATGCATTCCAACCTTCAACGTCAAACGGTTCGGATAGTACCACACTGCTAAACATAAGATCACAACACAAACCATCGAATCTCAGCCGTGGTAATGATTCATTTTACTTATTGAGTTATCATAAAATTTAAACGAATCATTTACGACTGACTTTTTACTATGGAAAATATGTGATAAGTGTAGTAATTGAAATTTATTATTCTCTTGTTTTGTTTTTCAGCTGGTGCTTATTCGATTGATTACAACACAGATATGCTTCAGAAAAATTTAAATGCTGATATGACCAATCCAAATGTATACCACAGCATTGATGAGAATTTCGAAGATCATGTTTACGATGAAATTAAACAAAAAGACGGCTATCCAGGTAACAGTTTGAAGAAGAAATATAATCAAACGAGATTAAGTGACAATTTTTCAAAAATTCACAGATTAAATTTTTTTTTTTCGTTATCAATTTTTCAGACGAATATGATCATCTAGATTATTCGAGTAGGCCAGGCAGCTCATTTAAACCACACTATCATCGCATGAACGATGTATTGAATATTACAAAAGATGAAAAAGAAGTAAAAGAATCGAACATTGAAAGTAATAATTTGGATAGACCGGGACGATCTTTAATGGATTCGAAGGCGTCTTATTCAAGTGGCGATTCAAATAGTTAACTCTTGAAAATCATATGAATCAATTGATTTGAAAACACAACAGTCTTCGAGTGAATACGCCAACTTTATAATATTGTGAGCTTAGTATTGTGCTTTTTCCTGAAGTATTGTGCTTTTTTGTACATGAATTTATACACTTTTTTTCTCTAAAATGCTCAATTAAATCGTGAAAAATGAACGTAAACACAGATTAAACAGATGGTTGTATGCTGTTAACAAGCAACAAATATGCAGTACAGAAATATCTTTTTTATAAGCAAATTTTACCGAGTTGTGATTTAAGAAACGTAAACCACATTTAGATGTTTATTGATAAATAATGTATTTGAATTGTAAAACCAGAGAGTTATTCTCTTTTGTTTGTTTGTTTTATATTTTAAGTATAACTGTGTATCAATATGCCAATGTTAAATTAGTGTAAATTTTTTAACATACGAACGATGTGATTTTTTGGGACAAATAGCCGATACGACGGAAGACAGTTTCTCTCCGAAATTCGATGAATTCATTGAGATAATATATTTTTGTACCAAAACAAAACAATTACCGCATGCAATCAAACAAATATATGGAACAAAGTGTTCATGCTCCTCATTTTATGCATTATTATTATTGAAGCGAATTAAAAGTCGTTTGTTTTATGATGCATTTAATTGCCAAGATACAAATCATTTTATTTTCTCGTTTTGTTTTCATTTAATTTTTTTTTTGGTAAATTTTTTCATTTGTTAGAGCTATTGGCATTTTAGTTAGTTAATTGATTTAGAAAATGTTAATATCTCACGATGACAAAGGAGGTCATTTTGATCATTTTGATAAACAATGATGGCATTATTTGCTTGAAAGTCAGACAAGCATTCGAACAACACGGGCAATCATAAGTATAATATTCTTTTTCGAGATTCATCTAGCTGATGAACATGCAATTTTAAAAACATTTCTGGATTTGCGCGTGTGAATCAATCAATATTTATCTCAATAATATTAATGTCATGTTTTTTTGTGTTTTTGAAAATTGCCTTTGCCTAGAATTTATTTATGAAATATATTTAAAAGCATTCTTTATACATTTAAATAATTAATGGTTGTAATATAAGTTAATTTTTCATAATAATTGAAACGTTTGTATAACTGAAAACTGTTTTGGCAATAAAATCTCAAAATCAAATAAAAAAAAATATACCTATATACCATTTCGAAAAAAAACAACCGATTTTTGTTTCATTTTGAAAAAATCCATTTGATTTTCAAATTTGTCGTGTTTCAGAATTTGTTTGCGACAAAATGTATTAACGGCCACCAACTGAGTCAAGCTGTCAAGAGTCACTGAAGGAAATCCACAATAATAATTCGTTTAGATATTTCTTTTTTTTTTCCTTTGGAGAGAAGGACACACAACGAAATTGAAAAGCTTAAAATTATTGCGCGTTGATAATTTTTACTTGTGCATATTTGTTGTGCTTTCATCATTGGCCTGTATACTTGTGAATGTGCATTGTAATACATACGGTCGTTATCGTGTTTGTTCGTACCCCGCTTCATAAGTTTGACATTTCAAATAAAATCAGAAAATACCGAGTGATGACTCTTATTTGTTTTGTTATGTAAGAGTATTAACATATTGGATCAAATAGATGACAATTGAATTAATCCGAAATAAAAATTAAGATTGTTGTGAGTTTTTAAGTGGAATTTTGTTTAGCAATACCTTTTTTACTAGAGAATCTCTAGAAGAAATTCAAAAATCCAGTGCCATAAATACGATTTGTTTATATTACGATGAGCAAAAATAATGAGTAACGGAATATAATTGCAAGAATCAACGTACGTGTGAAATATTTTAGTGTGAATATTGCAAATGTAGCTCGCGAAAAAACTGCCATATATCAATTTGGTTCACATAACGGAGCGATTTCCAAAATTGTTATGAATGTTGTTGGTGTGTGTTGACTCCAAACTAACTAACTTTTATAGTTTATTACATAGTAAGAGTCGAATTTACGGCTCGTGAGACACTTGGACCACTTTGGAACAGTACAAAGGTGATATTTATGCTTTATAATTATTGATGAATGAATGAGCATAAGGACTTTTAACAGTAATTAGGATATTCCAATATGGAGTCAAGAATTATAGTTAGCTAATTATAAATTAGTTTTAATTCACCACTCTATAACGTGAAAGACGAGAAAAGAAGAGCTCAACCGAGCGGAGTGGAGCGCAATTCACCATTCATCATGAACCATTCGTTTTTATATCTCCACGTTCCACTCTCCTTCGCTCTCTCTCTCTCTTCTCCGTTGGCTCTCTGAAAACTCTGTTTATATACAGAGAGACCAACAGTTTGCATGCATACGGCACATGCCGATATGCGCATACTAGCATAATATCAATGCAAAGAGTCAGAAAAGAGAAAGAGCAAGTGAACAAGCGAAACAAACTGACAGCATCACATTTATAGAACCACAAAAATGTGCATGTGTTGAGCCGCAGCGACACACATTCAACACATTCAAGTTAAGTCGCATATTACCAACAAACTACTTCCATTCGGATATTTTTTTTCTCACGAGAAGAGTCATTTTCAATACAATCAGCACATGATGATTGTGGCACTCGATTGATTTTCGAGTCGTTCCAATGCCGATAGGCGATAGTGCAAATGTCCAGTTGTGGTACACCCCCTCCCCCTCATTCTCACAATCATCATCGCAATATTCCGTTCTCTTTTCATCCCTTCTTAGTGGCGACATTCTTATTTCTAAAAAATAGAGTACTCAAAATGATTTTGCAATTCAACATTTCACCAATATAGAGAGAAAGTCTGTGTGCTTTTTTGCAGCTTGAAAATGTTGACGAGTTTTGAGTTTCCGACGGAAAAACGTAAAGACCTAATGGCATACACGCTGCCTCTGTGTGTCTATTCAATTTGAATCAGTTCGTGTGTTCGCTTGTTATACGTATAAATGCGCTTGAAAATTCAACGGTTGCCACTTTGTTTGCAACAGAACGTTATTGGGTATTATGTAAGTGAGATAAGGAGTGCAAGAGGGAAAGAGAGAGAGAAAGAGAATGTTTATATAAATGGGCATATAGCTCGACTGCATGAGCCAAAATACTAGTACTAAATATGGAATATTTTATATGTGATGGAATGTCTGGTGAAACAAAAAAAAGTGCTTTCAAATTGGTGGGCGCTTTTTTCCTCATTCATGTTCGGGTAAATGATTTCGTGGAGACCCACTTTCAGCAAACATGTATAACCAATGTAACTTTTTCAAATATATATATATGATTGTCCGAGAATGAATGTGAGTCTTCTCGTGAGAGTTTATTGAAATGTAACACCGCCATACAAAAATTGCTGACAGTCAGCATTTCTATAAACATTTTTATAAGCATTTCTATAAGCATTTCAATAAACTCTCACGAGAAGACTCACATTCATTCTTGGACATTCATATATATATTATTGTTATCGATTGCGCTATATGCTTAAATTTTGAAAAACTTGAATTGGATGAAATGAGCATTTTAAGTCGAATGGGCTGGCGCATCTCACATAAGCTTTCGCCACGAACTAAAATCCGAAAACCAAAATTTACCCCACAAAAACGAATAAGTAAAGCTTTTTTATAGTCGTTGATTTGGTTTTATCTTTCTCTTGCACTTGTACTTCTTTAGCAATCGGCAACAGCATGAAAAAAAGAGCAGAAAAGAGAAGAAGAATTAAAGCAAACCGACATGAATGTATTAGAGTTTCAACAACCAGTACAGAAAGAGACGGTGAAAAGTAAACAAATAAAAAAGCACAGTCTGCTTTTCATTTGCTGATTTACGGGTATATGACATCATATGTATGGATGTGCGCATAGTAAAAATACGAGCGTTCAAAAAACGTCAGAGAATAGAAGCGAGCAGAAGCCAACTGGATCGACATTGTTATATGTAACGACTAACAAAATGTGTTTGCAAAGCGCTGCAATTGAAGTAAGTGTGGTTTTGGATATGGAAAACAAAGCGCATATTTTCTATAGAATATTTTACATAGATTGAGATGGAGATAGAGAAAGAGAATGGACTGGCGAGAGAAATGTTTGACTAAAAGTGATCACTCATACCCATACAAAAGAACAACGATCATAAAAGTAGTTTTACCCACACTCATATATATATACACGAATACATAACAAAGATGAAAAATATTCGGCACAAGAGCAAACTTTTGTGCTCTCTCTCTCTCTCTCTCTCTCTCCAATCTATGTGCAAATATACGTATATAGTTACGCGAATAAAAGCAAAAATCCCATATAAAGATTGATCGCAGATATAAAAACCTATCTATAATTCATGTGATTTTTGTACGTGCAGTACACCATTTGAATTTTGTGTGCGAAAAAGCCAAACCGAAACGAATCCGAACCGATAGCAGCACATTATTGTCTACTCTATTTTCACATTAGTGTACGATAGCATGATACACATCGAACATGCTGTGTGTAAATGCGCGCATCACACACAACATTTTTCCAAAACACAACACACATATCGCAACTCACAACATAACAACATATTATACACGAACGGATCCCGATATATCGATAATGTTATAAAAATCATACGCTAAATTCAGTGCAAATGTTTTGCACAGATACACAGAGATCACAAATGTATTGATGTTGTTGTTGCTACTTCTGAACGCTTGACGCGCTACATACAAGCGGTACAACCATGCAATGGAAAAAGGAACATATAATAAAAATAAGAATGAACAACAAAAAATTGTATCCAGTGAGACTGATGCATGGAAAATGATGAAGCAAAGATGAGGTTCTCGCATGGTGGTTGTACAGGGTATTCGCTTAAATTCAGCACTTTCAGCACATCAACATTGATGGCATTATAAAAACAAAATGTTTTAATTTCATTTCGTTGTTAACAAAATGCCGACAAACCGGTTGTGATACGAATACAGCTAGTATTCACACCGATTCAGTGTAGTTAAATGTTTCTATTCATTTGGAATTTATTGTGAATGAAATTTGTGACATAAAATCGTTTACAAATAGCGAAAAACCAAAATTCAATCACATCATTGTGACTGTTACAATATTTGAGTCATCGACTGGAAAGTGAAATTACCGTACATCATCATTTCCGCATCGCTGATGATGTTCAGCATGATGATGATGATATGCAAGAATTTGCCACCAATAATCCAAATGAATCCCAAGTGCATTTTTTTCCGCTTCAATGTCTTCGGTAATCCCATTTGGTAGCCGAAAATGTATTGTTGGTGTCATCGGACACCCTGTATACAATCTATACTGAATCGCATTGCATACATACGTACACATTGCGCAGTGATAAATTTGCACTGAACGTGGATACTTACTTAGTATTTATTTGGATTTCAATTGTACACACACTCTATATAAATAGAGTAGACAAACTAAGCAGCGGCAGCAATGTCAAAACGCCAACAATGGGATGAAGCAGGCAGTTTGCCGTCACTTGAGTGGTTTACCTCCCTCAAAAATACCATTGTGACAGTGACGAAGGCTCATTTCTTGATTAACTCAAATCCCAAAAAA